CCAAATACTATTATGAAAATATTTATTTACATTTCTAATTATTGTAGCCATGGTAACAAGTTCAAATTTGCATAAATTAGAAAAATTTGAATATTCAGTCAATATTGTGATATTTTGCTTAGTTTTTCTCCTAGAGACTATAGAGTGCATGCTTGAACAAACTTAATATCAAAGGATAATGTGTAGGCACCTGTAATACATCTTGAGGAGAAATATAATGTTTGTTCAAGAGTGCGCTCTATGGTAGCAAAGAGAAAAACTAGGTGAAAACCTGTCAAAATTGACTGAAAAATCAAATTTCAATAATTTATGCAAATATGACCTGGTTACCATGCCAGTCAAAATTGAAAACACAAATAAATGTTAACATAATAGTACTGGGGAAGTATTCAAAATTAAAGAAGCATTCGTTTGAAAGTTCTATCGCAGATTTCTAATTTTGATGGATTTTGGGGCCAAAAAAGGGCCAAACCATACATAGTCCTTTATCATTTATCTAATGTCGTACATATGTATATATACATGTATGACATTAGATAAATGATAAATAATCATATCTCATGGTGACGACTGCATATATAATATATATGCGTTATATGTAAAGTACTATATAGCTTTAGTCTGTATGTACCTGGGTATATAAGTTAAACAATGCAAACTGAAGTTTGATTTGTGATATTCATTATCAGGGTTGGTATAAATAAGTCTAAATAAAGTAATATTGTTAATAACTATGTGTATGATAAAAAAACCAGTCAAATTTGTTATCTAATAAAACGGCACAGTGTATCATATCACTAGCTTCTTACAGGAATCTCTTAGTAGGGTTTACACTGTGCATGTACAGTATTTAATATAAATTTGTGTAGATTATTTAAATATTGATAAACAATAATGCTGGGCTATTTTTGTGGCACCTGCTATGCATGGCGACACAAAAATTGTTTCGAAAGGCGACATATAGGTAATACTTTGTCAGCGTCGTCGGTTGTGTCGTCCGAAACAAGGTTTCCGTGTGATAACTCTTAAGTCATTCTGTTTGACCAGTAATCGTTGAGGAATATTCTTATTTCATAATTCATCAAATGATATTTTAATGGTCACACTTTTGTACAAGTCCAAAAGACCAGTTACTGTGGGTTTTAAATTTGTGATTCTATTACTGTTGAACCCTGCAATGGAGGTGGTATATCTGTGGACATCATGCAGTACAAGTACACCTGGATCAGATAGTGGTTACAATTACTGTGGTACACTATACACTGGGGGTATAGAGATACAGATCTGGTTATAGTATCTTCTGTATGTAAGTACAGACATGTACATGTAGCTGCAGCTAATCCCCTTCAAGATTCCAATTCACAACATCCCACAACTTGTATATCACTTCCCAATGCCCTTGTCCTGAGTAAGTGTACCCTCTCTAGATCTTCTCCCTGTTCCACCACCACCACTCATCCCATTACTTTCTCCTCTCTGTCCCTCCACTGACATCACCCCATGCCATAGTTACAGTGTTCCGAAGTTCTCCCACTCAATCTCCCTCCTTCCCCCCTCTTTGTTTGGTAATATAACATTGCACTTTTGAGCAGTACATGTACAGTGACCAGAAATCTAAACCATTGGCAGCTGATCATCATGGCCAGATGTCACTGATGTGGAAGATAGCGCTGACAAAGGAGATAGCATATCTGTTGTATAATCATGAAAAGTGAATTGAGTGCTTAAATTATTATTACAAAATGTTTACTTTCAATTTGATATGGAATGATGGTTGAATGCCATATAATTGATTAGACAGATGGTCGTGAAAATACAATTTACAAAGACAGTGTAGCTTTAACTGCACTACTGTGTGATCTTGAATTGGCTAAAAACAAAGGAAATGTGAAAGATGATGTTTATACAGTAATATTCGTTTGTAAATTGGAATGAACAAAGAAGGCAATACAATGACTTCTTGATACAGTATTTAAACCTTGGTATCCTGCTACCATTTATCCAGAGAAATTTCAGCTTGATACTGTATTTAAACCTTGGTATCCTGCTACCATTTATCCAGAGAAATTTCGGCTTGATACGGTATTTAAACCTTGGTATTCTGCTATCATTTATCCAGAGAAATTTCGGCTTGATACAGTATTTAAACCTTGGTATTCTGCTACCATTTATCCAGAGAGATGTCAGGGGTTCTGCTTTCATTGGCAAATTGTATCAATTGCAAGGGGGAGTCTTGTAAAAAAGAAAGGAAAAGACTACTTAGCATCCTGTTGGGTATAATTAAGGGAAATGGAAAATAGAATGAAAACCATTATGTAAATGGCGCTTGAAGTTTCAATGTGTTATTTTATGCCTACTGTATATCATTTAAGCGTAATCTTTAGAGATAGAAACCAACAGCAACCCCTGCTCTGTGTATTTAGAATGCCACAATAATTTTACTAGCTGTACACAGCTTACTTTAAAATACGACTGTGATCAATCTCAGGATTATATCAATGGGAGGTGAATCTAATACCTTGATAATCATCAATATATGGATCTCTACATTCCCAGCAGAGAATTGATGGATTAAAAGAAAAACACCTGATCCCGAGAAATTTAGGTCAATCTCTCCTTTAAACCCTAAATTGTGATGAAGACAAACATTTATACCCGTTAACTGTTTTGCTGAAACTCAACAGTTCGAATTTATAAGGAAAACAATTTAAAGTGTTGCCATTCACTGCATGCCATTATGTGTAATTTGTAAATAGATACTCTAAATTTACTGTACTTTTCAATACGTTTGGCCACATAAATTATACACAACTTACATGTATGTACAGAGTTTTAAACTTTACTGACACAAATAGGAGTAATAAGTTTTGCAAAAAACGTATTAAATTTGAAGAAAAATAATCGGCATAATTGAAAGTGATACGAAACTTGTTTTCCAAACATAACTTTAACATTACAGATTACATGACGGGTAATATTTATGAAAATTTGTCATTTATCAAAGTATTCATCCAACCATTAATTTCTGTAAATTAAGACCAAACCAGTAGTACGTTGCGCATGTATTTCATTGGATTCAGGTGTTTCATAACATTAGCTGAAGATTTTCCATCCTTGAACTGTGAGAATTAGTCTAAGGTTTTTGAGCTGAACTAGGGGGTCTTCTAATATAGTTTGGGCTAATAGTTTATATAAGCGACTGTGGCCATTGGAATATAGGTGGGGTATATATTATGATTATCCTGTGCTGTCTGAGGTGTCCTAATGCTCCGATCCTGGAAGTATGTACACCAGGTACTATACCCTGACAGCGTGTGACCAGGTGTGTGTGGTCGTGTGTTTATGTCCATCTATACCTAAGCTATATAAGGCCTACACCAACTGTACAAGCACACAAACACCTCCTACATGACACTTGGTCTTATCAGATCTTCCCCGGTAATCTACACCAGAGTTCTTAAGCTAGAGTGATTAAAAATAATATTAGATATACACATACTTGAGACTATAATTGGATAGGTCGTTAATATTACAATAAGATTACACCATACCTGATGAAATCTGTGTTATTGGGATCCCTATGAGGGATCTCTGTTGATTGGTAGAGGTTAAGCAAGATTTGTAAGGAGACAACACAAATGTTAAAATATAGAGCCAGTACCTAATACAACTACTGTAGGTATTAGTGTGTCCAGGATCCCACATTCTACATACATATATAATTTTTTATGCTTATAGCTACATGTACATTGTAAATTAGAGAAAAAATATTTGTTTATCAATTCCATTTTAAGAATGTGTTTTAAGAAACGCCTTTGTGTATTTATTATATTTTCAAAGTGTTTGCCCAGATTGATTAATGAAAGTGGGCCTGATAAAAACACATTTCTAGTTCCTCCCATTGCTCAGGACAAGTGTGTATTAGTTTGGCATTAGTTGGCTGTCCCTTGCATCAAAAAATGATGATTATTTTTTCGCAGTAGAAACGTAACCTTTCAAATTTATCTGCATTCTTAGTTTTTATCTTACTCAGTGTTTGAATTACAAAGGTTCTTCAGAGAAAATAACACTCCCTTTGCCTGTGTAATGTTCAATAATTATGATAAATAGAGCCAGCAAATCTATTCGACACACATTATATAGTAGAGTACTGGTGTGTCCAGTGTTTCACGCTACAAGTAATGGTTTATATCAGTAAAGGAAATCAGGTTTTGATGATTTTAAATTGCTGGGAAGTATGGATGTAAATTAAATGTCAGACAGGAAATTGGAGGGGAACAATGATTTATTTTGAAGTTGCATTACAAGACTAACGATGGATATTTGTACAAACAATTTAAACAAAACACTAAACCGTTATCTGTTAGATCATGAGCCAAACTTGTAATCATTTGACATTTAAACTTGTGGAGCTATTCAAACTTGTACAATTTTATATATTTAAAAAGAGTTCAGTACTGTCAAGACATTTGCTATGGGTAGTTTTAAAATTAAAGTCCTATATCCCAGTATAATGCTACAGTATAGCCGGACTTCTACGCTAATAAATATCCATACATCATGGGAAAAGCCCCCCCCCCATTCCAAAAGTTGAAATTCTGTATCTTTTAATGATACATGTATAAGACAGAAAAACACACCTTTGATAGCATATTGCATGGGGAAAATTCAATTTGGATGATCTATTTACATCAAATGTTAATTCACTTTTCAGCTTTTTTTCTTTAATTGACCACTGGGAAGTTAAATGATATTTGGTCAGTACATTGTAGCAAGTTTGGTTTAAGAGTTTATTAAATATTGCAAATCTGTTCAAATGCGTTTTCATGGTCACAGGAATCAAATGTGATAATATAAGCCAAGAGGCCTATATATATATGGTCATGATATTTGACATGTAGTTATTGCTAGGCAGAAGGTCAATCAAGTTTGTTCAAATGAATGACCTTAATCACCTTTTTTTGTTAGGTCATTATCATATTTTTTTTTCTGTTTTCCAGCGTCAATCCAGATCTTCTGACAGAAGTCACGTTTGGGTCACATTTGGAGTATCCTGATGGATCAGTGCCCAGTAAGTACACGTTTAATATAATATAGCGTTAATGGAGAGTTACAGAAAATACTGTTTCTGGAGTGAAAAGCCTCTATCTTATACAATATACAAAAACAGTTAGGCCTTTTAGCTGAAATCTTGCCACATTCTCATTGAGATTTAGACATCTTTTTAAACTTCAATTTAGCAGAATGCAGTTAAATTTCCGAATGTTTGTTATTAATGCTTTATAACAGTACAATGAATTGTCATATGAAACATGAAACCAGACATGTTGCTGATACTGGTCTGCCGAGTCTGGCACAACTAAAACAATAACACAGAATGTACAAGTGTTCAAGAATTACAAAATGAAAACCTGTATTTTGTTAACTCATTAAACTAAAAACAAGCATCGAACAGATGTAATAAAAGACTGGATTTTGAAGGAGAAATTTACACGTATATTGACAAAAATAGCTGCAAGGTACATTATCATGTGGCTGAAAATGGTACACAGTATAATATCCTGGTGTATAGTGAACTGTGAAAGCCTTGTGAAGACTATGATGTGACCTGGAGATTCTCCAGCACTTGTATCAAAGCTTTCATTTAGATAGTTGTGACAGATATTTCAATAAACACTTTGCACAAGAGGGTGATAAATTACAACACTTCACCACTCTCTCCTCTCCTGGGAATCATAAACTGAGATGTACAGTACTTTATGAGTGTGTTTATCAATAATAAATGGTGGCGTTGATTTAGATGGACCCCTCCATAGTTTATGACATGTAATGAATAACAAAAGTGCAGGATCATTTGGTACGGTGTTGGTTACATTGTACATTACAACAGGTAATTATATATACTTAGTTACACCCTTGTTATCTAATTAGTAAATGGGTTATATGCATATCATCATTTATTGCAAAAATGATAATCAAATTATCAAAATAAAATTAATTAAAGAGAAATGCTAAAGAAAATGAAGAAATAAAGCAAAGTTATTTCTGTAATTTTAAATCTCAGAAAACAGTAATTTTACATCTGATGAATTAATTATTCTTTTTAAGTCGTGCACAATTACTGCAGATCCCGTTTGTAGATGATCTGTAAGACATCATTGATGTCTTTTTAACATGTTGTATTTAATTTTTGATATAATGTAGATGGAATTCTCACCCATATTTTGACCATTGTAGTGTTTGCCAAGACCAGTAATGGAAGGATGTCCCCAGTACGAGCCAGAACCATGAAGGAATATGACCAGGTACATGTTAAACCGTAATGATAGACCACATGGGGAACACCAAGTATATAGGTCAAACAGAGGGAAAAGTGCAACTGCAGGTCATTTTGTTCTGGAGGAGATGATTAAAGATAAGAGATGGGAGACAACTCCTACTTTAATATTTATTCCTTTGTGGAATAAGCTAACATCCTAACGTTACCTACATGTATAAGACTAGTTTACTTTTCCCACTTTTCTGGGTAATATATTGAAATAGCTATACAACACATTTGCACTATACCACAGTTAAAATCTGCAGTAGTAAAATAAATACATGTGTAAGTATTATATGTAGAGATCTTTCTAGTACATTGTATTTACATATATGTATTAAGACATGTTTCCTGTGTGTTAACAGCAAATTGCAGTCCTAAAGAAGGAGAACTTCAGTCTGAAGCTAAGAATTTATTTCCTGGAGGAGAGGATGCAGCAGAAATTTGGAGATGGGGAGGATGTGTTTAAGACTGTAGGTTACTCTTGTAGTGAATTAGATATGAAACCCTTGATTCTAATTTGAAACCCTTGATTGCTAAACCATATCATAAGTGCAACATATCGGCTTTAATATGCCTATTCTATCAGGTCAATTTTGTTAGTATATAAAAACCATTCAGTGTGAAAGATTAAAACAGTTTATTTAGTCAAAGAAAAACGACATAAAACAGAAAGGCTGGATAGTCTCTGTAAATAATTTGATAATGAAATCTAATGAAAATGTCCAATATTTGAGGCTTAAATCAAAGTCGGGCTAGAGCCAGCAACAGTTATATCCCTAGTGTGTTATGATAAAACTTAACCTGAAATTAAGACTTGCATTTACTCCTATGATCTATTTATAGTATAAAGAGTTGTTGTTTGAAGGTTATACTTGTACCTGACATATGTTTTTGTGTGGTGTATACATGTAACTGTTGATTGCTATGATACCTGAATGTTTTACCTGCTCCGTTTTACAGAATATCGAGCTGAAGGTCGAGTGCGAGAGCCTGAAGCGAGAACTGGCCGACAAACACAACTTGTTGAAGAAAGCCTCGTAGGTGTTTGTATGTTGTGACTGATTCAGAATGCCTGCCTGACTAGGCTTGGGAGATATTTAAGGATATAGGCCATCTTACAAATTACACCTCTTTTAAATACAATTTATGATAGTTATCTCCCCTAAAATAGTTTCACATGTAATTACTTGAGTGTGATTATGCGCACATCCTTGCCAACCTTTCATTTGTTTTATATAAAGAACGAACTTAATTTTTTCAGCATTCATGAGGTCATAACAGCAATACGATGCCATGCCATTATCAGAAGTTTACCATACATTGACTGTAGTTCTGTTGAAACATGGAAAAAAAATTACAAGTTAAGATCAAAATACCTGTATTTTCGTTGATAAGAAGTAGGCTGATGTTAAAGATATAAAATAAGCAGTTCATGTATTTTCTCTAGGAATGCTATGGAAAATCTGTCAAGTAACCACCAATCAGAGATGGCAAAGATACAGGCACAAGTAGAAAGAGATTTCAAAGACTCTAACAATGGGCTGGCATATCAACTTGACTCTGCTCAAAAGGTAGGTGTACTTTTATAGGAAAGAGGAAGTTTCACTGAACTATATATTGAAAATTGAAGAGATAGATTTCTCCTCCTTTCCCTCCAGAGAAAGAGAGATGTGTAAACTTTTTTCCCAATAAAAATCTACACCAATTCAGGAACACGTCATATGAAAAACTTACTCCATGAACAAAAAAACTTTTACTTAGTGATTTTGTCTATTTTAAAGGCCCATTTTGAAGCAGAAGAGGCTCTTCAGGACAGCAAGGACAAGATACAGGAATTACAGGGGCAACTTGACAAGATGGCCACAGAGGTCAAAGAGGTGCAACAAAAGGGAGATGACTATGTGAAGGTAAAGGTCGGAAGCAGCAAGTGTTTTCTTATAATCCAAGTCTGACTATTTCTAAACTTAGTGACCCGTCTCTTTCAAAGACACCTGTATTTTATGGTATTACTTTCCAGTATGCTAATATATATTTGTGCAGCTTGTAGATTTGAACAAGTCGGAAAAAAATGCTTTGTTCAAGAACAGATGAACAATGCCTTACTGCTATTCAATACGCAGGTCCATTTCAAATCTATGATGACATGTTTTTAGCTCACCTGGTCCGAAGGACCAAGGTGAGCTTATGCCATACCGCAGCGTCCGTCATCCGTCAACTTTACACTACTAGTCATGAACCACTGAGCGGATTTTAACAAAATTTGGTGTGGGGCATCCTTGGGTGAAAAAAACCAATTTTGTATAAATGGTGGGTCTGGCCCCCAAGGGGCCTGAGGGGTGGGGCCAAATAAGGGAAATAAAGCAAATTATTCTTTAAAATCCTTCTTCTTCTGTAGGAATGAAAGGATTTGGTCCATATTTGGTCAAAAGCATTCTTGGGGGAAGGGGAACAAAGTTTGTATAAATGGTGGGTCTGGCCCCCCTGGGGGCTGAGGGGCGGGGCCCAATAGGGGAAATATAGCAAATTCTTTAAAATCCTTCTTCTCCTGTAGGAATGAAAGGATTTGTTCCATATTTGTTGTTGAGCATCCTTGGGTAGTCGGGAACCAATTTTGTATAAACCATGGGTCTTGCTCAACAGGGGCCTGAGGGGCGGGGCCCAATAGGGGAAACAGAAAATTATTCTTTAAAATCCTTCTTCTTCTGTAGGAATGAAAGGATTTGTTCCATATTTGTTGTTGAGCATCCTTGGGTAGTCGGGAACCAATTTTGTATAAACCATGGGTCTGGCTCAACAGGGGCCTGAGGGGCGGGGCCCAATAGGGGAAACAGAAAATTATTCTTTAAAATCCTTCTTCTTCTGTAGGAATGAAAGGATTTGGTCCATATTTGGTGTGGAGCATCATTGGGTAGTGGGGAACCAATTTTGTATAAACGGTGGGTGTGGCCCCCCTGGGACCTGAGGGGTGGGGCCCAATAGGGGAAATAGACGTAAATCTTCAAAATCCTTCTTCTTCGGTAGGAATGGCAGGATTTTGTCCATATTTGGTCTGAAGCATTCTTGGGTGAAGGGGAACCAATTTTGTATAAACGGTGTGTCTGACCCCGCTGTAGGCAGAGAGGTGGGGCCCAATAGGGAAAATAGAGGTAAAACCTTTAAAATCCTTCTTCTACCATAGGGATTAAGGGATTTTATCCTAATTTAGTCTGGAGCATCCTTGGGCCAAGGGGACTCAATTTTGTATTAGCAGTAGGTGTGGTCTCCGAGGGGGGGTAGAAGGGCGGGGCCCAATAGGAAAAATAGAGGTAAAACCTTTAAAATCCTTCTCTGACCATCAGGGATTAAGGGATTTTATCCTTATTTAGTGTGGAGCATCCTTGGGTGCAGTGACTCGATTTTGTATAATTGGTGGGTATGCCCCCGTAGAGGCATAGGGGTGGGGCTCTGTTTGAAGTTTGTTCTCTATATCTCAAGTATTGGATGGATCTTTCTGAAATTTCATATGTACTAACAGCACCTACCATGGAGTGCTATATCTTGACTTCATACCAATTACTTTAATTATATTCAGGTGAGCGATACAGGCCCTCTGGGCCTCTTGTTTAGTTTAAGACTACCTTATGTGCTATGTGGTTTGTACCTGGAGCTAATTAGTGTGCAATGTATTAAGTTACTGGTGACAAAAACTCCGGCAATGAGTCAAATTCAATGTCATTAGGATGTTCCTGATTATTGATATTTTCTCTTTCAGGATTTGATGCAAGAGTTGAAGGATAAAAACAAGTAAGTAATGCTGTGTGGTCAGTACCATTTCTGCAAAGTCGTTATGGATCGCTACAAAAGAGTGTACACATGCATTGTGGCTAAAGGATTATCAAACAATCTGACTTTTTTCAAAAATCTTGTTCTTTTGTTATAAAAATGCCAGGATCAAATACTACCCATAGCTGTAAAAGCGTTTCGGTGGTTTGTAAAAATTGTGATTTTCATGTCTCCCATGGCCCCCGTTTGCCCCTGAGGAGGGGTTGAAATTTAGTATAGTTTATTTATGAAATAGACATAATAGGCCATATCTTCCAGTGTTTTGAATGGAATTTGCTCATATTTGACAGAAATACTTGTTAGGGGAGGGAGGTCTGCTGGTATAATATTTATGAGTTTGACCCCCTAGGGGGCTGAGTTAGGGGCCAAAAAGGGGAGAAATATAGGAAAATTTCAAAAATCTTCTTCTCTAGTTACAAAAATGCCAGGATCAAATACTACCCATAGCTGTAAAAGCATTTGGGTGGTTTATAAAAATTGTGATTTTCATGTCTCCCATGGCCCCCGTTTGCCCCTGAGGATGGTAAAAATTTGGTATAGTTTATATAGGAAATGGCATGACAGGCCATATCTTCCATTGTTTTGAAAATGATTTGTTCATTTTTGAGAGAAAAACTTATTAGGGGAGGAGGGTCTGCTGGTATAAATTTTGTGAGCCTATCCCCTAGGTGGCTGAGTTAGGGGCTAAAGGGGGGGGGATTTGGGAAAATTTTAAAAATCTTCTTCTCTAGTTACAAAAATGTCAGGATCAAATACTACCCATAGCTGTAAACGCCTTTGGGTGGTTTATAAAAGTTGTGATTTTCATGTCTATATACATAATAGGCCATATCTTCCAATGTTTTGAATGGAATTTGCTCATATTTGACAGAGGCGAATTTCAAAAATCTTCTTCTCTAGTTTCAAAAATGCCAGGATCAAATACTAACCATAGCTGTAAAAGCATTCGGGTGGTTTATAAAAGTTGTGATTTTCATGTCTATATACATAATAGGCCATATCTTCCAATGGTTTGAACAGAGTTTGCTCATATTTGCCAGAGGCGAATTTCAAAAATCTTCTTCTCTAGTTACAAAAATGACAGGATCAAATACTACCCATAGCTGTAAAAGCATTTGGGTGGTTTATAAAAGTTGTGATTTTCATGTCTATATACATAATAGGCCATATCTTCCAATGTTTTGAACAGAGTTTGCTCATATTTGACAGAGGCGAATTTCAAAAATCTTCTTCCAGAAATGCTAGTATCAAATACTACTCGATAGTTGTAAAGGCCTTCGAGTGGTTTATATACTTTGTGAATTTCATGTGCCCCAGGTAGTTTGGTATTGTTTATATAGACACATACTTTTTATCTCCAACTAATGTGCTAGTAATAGTAACAACCTTAATTCTTTATGAATTATAAAGTCTCCATAGTAATGCTTGCAAGTTCTTACCCTACATGTCTGAAGTGGTTACAAATTGGCATTACAGAGCAAATGTAAATATTGTGCCATGATTGCTTAAATAACCAGGTGAGCGATACAGGCCCCCTGGGCCTTTTGTTTTAATAATGTCCTTCAGATAGCATCACTATGGAAGTAATTAATTCTTTGTTTTTAAAACATGGCAAGACGTATTTCACTTTATTATTAGTAACAAACTAGTTGCCGAAAGTGTCACAGCGATGAGAGAAGTATTTGGTGTTTTCTAGTGAAATAGAGCATCTGACTGCCACAAACCTGAAGAACCAGGACGACATAGATCTGCTCCAACAACAGAAGGACCATGCTGAGGATGAGCTCGAAAAACTGGAGAAGGAACTCGGCAGGAAGGGGCGAGATCTAGAGGTGAGTTTTGATGAGGAACTGACAAGTTTGGTGAGTGTAGAGATGAGATGAGAAAGATTATACAGAGGGGATCAGGAAGAGAGGACTGGAGCAGAAGTAAGGTTGACAGGGAGTGTTCAAGGTGTGAAAGACAGATCTTAAAATGAGATTTTATTAAGTTTTTGAGAAGCAGGGTGTAATAATAGAGAGAATGGATTACCTATAGGTGTAATGGTGAAGATATAAAGATTTGGATGTGGGGTGTAAATTGGTTCTGTTGGTTTGGGGATAAAACATACAAGCTATTTTTTTGATGGATTTGATATGAAGTTCAGCATAAATAATATATTTGAAATAGTTTACTGTGAATGCAACAAGACAAATTACATATTACAATTAGTTTACTGAATGCAAATGTTACTTTGTTGGCTTGTGGCATGCTGAAGACAAGAAGAGTTATTTCCCTTTTGTCACGTTTTGTTTGTATTATTTGTGACTTGATGATATGTTTGTTGACAGTTTTGTTTGTTTGCAGCATGTGTATGACCATACATCAGAGTAACAGACTTTTACTGCTTCAACTATATTTAACACCATTTTTAATGTCCCCACTGTCAAATTAAACTATTTATACAGAGGGCATTACTTAAAAAGAGTGGGAAATCAAAATGTCGGATAAAGTTTCTCCATTATTCTCTTTTATTTTATATACAGTGTATTCCCCAAGTTGTTTAAGCAACAAGGAATGCTGACATGATCTTTAATACCAGAATACTTTCTGAAGTCTTTCTGCTACATACTTCTATGTATACATATTTTTGGTAAATTTTGATTTTCCATGCTATTGAAATTTTATAGCATGTTGCTTCAGTACACAGTGTTCTGTGACATAATGCTTTCATAACGAGAGATATTTTGTCCTAGATACATGTTTTTTACTTTGATATGTTTAATGTTGCCCTTTACTTAATTAATGCTTGTTCTTGTCGTTTGTTAATTTGAATGTATGTTCTTGCATGTAGCAACTGTCGTGCATTGTGAGGGATACTACCCTACTGGACAGTCAGTCCTTCCTTCTCAACAATCATCTCCAGGTTTGTCTCCGGTCACTGATCAGTCAGTCACACTGACCATTCTCACCGCCAAATATTACTCACCATTAACATATCGTCTCTATGCTTGTCCTTATGAAAAACTTCAGTTTTCATCAGGTAACTTTTTGTCATGGAAAATCAATTTCTTCTGTTCAAAAGTTTAAATCTGAGTAAAATACAGAATCTTGAGTTTCCAAATTTTATCACCAATTTGTCCAAATCTATTTTCATAGTGGCAGGTACAGTGATGATATCCACAGGTAGTGATGATATTTATGACCAGAGCCTATATATTGTTGGCTTAGATGTTATGTGGTGGATCTAATTAAAGTTTGATTTGTGTAGACAAAATTTAGTGACTGATAACATAGGTTTTGACATTGTGAAACCAAATCATATAGGCCAGACATAACCTGCTTAGGGTATTTCCTGCTCAAGTGATGCATATATAATTTATCTTTCAACACTCTTAACTGTGGTATACTTGATTAACTCAATAGTAAGCTAGCACATCAACTCTTCCTATTTAGGCAGAAAAAGGGTTTGAAGTAAAAACAATGTTTGGATTTGAAGTTGCAATGTTTGCAGGATATTATTAATTGTGCTGTGTTACAGTGTACACAATCAAATGAGTTATCAATTCATGGAAGTAAATACCCAACAAAAGGAACAGATCACATGTCTCCAGCGAAAATTGACTTATATGTATAGTGATTAGAGAAAGTAAATAAATACAAAAATCATTTTAATGAATAAATTTCACCTCAGACTCCTATCATAATCACAATGTTATATTGGTGGTGTCCTGCAGAATTTAAATATTATTATTACATTTTTATCTTCTAAGCTGTTAGCATGACAGTTCTATTGCTCAAAAACACATCACTAAATGATGTTTTCACGCAAGAATCTGCACAAAATTTCATAAAATATGATTGCACCTGCTCAAGTGTATTTAAGTTCATATTAATTGTTGAGATGTTGCATGTGCAGTTTTGTATACAGAATGATATTGGTCCTACATTAACGCTTACCTGTTTAACCACCCACTTAATTATATCCAGAGTAGATATATTATCTGTTCCTATTGTCACATTAACTGGCTTCTTGGACATATACTTCAGTGAAAAGTCAAACCTATAGAAATGAAAACTTTTTTTTATAAACAGAAAGAAATTATAATTTAATCTAAATTGGAGTGTAAAGTTTGCTGGAATGACTCCATAAGAGAAGTGAAATGAGGTAGACTTTATGAAATTCTGTGAGTATTCACTGAGAAAGCTCACAAAAGACTAACCCACACGAGATTGGAATAGATTGTAGATATAAGACAGGCTTTAGAGCTTGCATTTTCACCTAAACATATAATTTTGAGTGGGTACATTTTGCCTCCATATTAATGAGTGGCTGTAATTAAGTAAAGGCTATTCACGTTCAGGGTCCCTGTACCACTGATAAAAACTACCCAGCCTTATAAACTGTTTCTTCCTGTACATGATTGTAGCTGTTATACCAAAGGAGCCTGAAATATTGTCAAAAATTAATAATAACAGTACATGTATGTAATACAAAAAATATAACTATAATATGCTTAAAAAATAGATTTTAAGCAGTTATAGGTATTTTTTTGTGTATTACTATTATTAATAATTTGTGACAGAATTTCAGGCCCCTGTGGTTATACCAAAAACAAAATGCAAGGAAAATCACAGTGCAGTGGGATACTTATGAGAAAATCAAAATCACTAAAACATATTTTGAGATTAAACAATTATGAATGTCTTTATTCCATTACATCCCTATCCCACTAATAGATTGTAGTGCCCTGTACTAGATTACCTCCCTTTGTCCACAGCTTGATCTGTGATAGATCGGCAGTAGTTTAACTCCTCTGTTGTTATGTATGTATGCATGATCATTTTATTTAGCACTCTAACACAGCAGGTAGACTTAACATGGTGGTAGTAACATGACTAATTCTGTATTTGCCTTTTATATAGTAGAGCCTTCCAATAATTGATTTACAAAGTATTCAGACATTTTCACTAATTAAAAAGAATAAAGTTGTGAAATTCCAAAAAATATTTAAAATGTAAGTGTGTTATATATACATATTACAATATTTTTTATCAAGTTGATGGAATAATATATTTAAATGTAACACCTGTTTAGTTTATAATTTACCACCGATGGTATCCTTCTCTTTATAAATGCTTGAAATACTAAGTAATAGTGGTTAGACTGGAGATAGAATATGTCACTGATTACTTTGGATGATATAGATGACCACTGAGTAATATACATACAGGATGATATAGATAACCACTGAGTTATATACATACAGGATTATATAGATAACCACTGAGTAATATACATACAGGATGATATAGATAACCACTGAGTAATATACATACAGGATGCTGTTGATGACCAGAATGAAGCAGTAAAGAACATGGAGGAAAAGGTCAAGGACGGTGAATTAAAGATAAAGGACAAGAATGAAACAATAGGGGTGTGTATTCTGATGTCAATTTAAAACAATAGGGGTGTGTATTCTGATGTCAATATATAACAATAGGGGTGTGTATTCTGATGTCAATATATAACAATAGGGGGGTGTATTCTGATGTCAATATATAACAATAGGGGTGTGTATTCTGATGTCAATGTAAAACAATAGGGGTGTGTATTCTGATGTCAATGTATAACAATAGAGGTGTGTATTCTGATGTCAATATATAACAATAGGGGTGTGTATTCTGCTGTCAATGTATAACAATAGGGGTGTGTATTCTTATGTCAATGTAAAACAATAGGGGTGAGTATTCTTATGTCAATGTAAAACAATAGGGGTGAGTATTCTTATGTCAATGTATAACAATAGGGGTGTGTACTCTGATGTCAATGTATAACAATAGAGGTGTGTATTCTGATCTCAATATATAACAATAGGGGTTGGTATTCTTATGTCAATATAAAACAATGGGGTGTGTATTTTGATGTCAATATAAAACAATGGGGTGTGTTTTTTGATGTCAATATAAAACAATAGGGGGGTGTATTCTGATGTCAATATATAACAATAGGGGTTTGTATTCTGATGTCAATATTAAACAATAGGGGTGTGTATTATGATGTCAATATAACACAATAGGGGTGTGTATTCTATTGTCAATATAACACAATAGGGGTGTCTGATATAAGTACTGGTACATTGTGGGGCAGTGCTTTTACCTGTAGCTGTCCGGTATGTTATTAGTTGATATTTTATAAGAGACCTTAACTTGTGTAAAAGTTCATTAAACACACATATTATTTTTTACCATTGGCCATAGGGGATGAGTGGTTTTGATATTTTCGAAAGGAGAACCATGCTTGGTATTAATAAATAGCAGTATGTTTTAGAGAGAATAGACCAAGGCCCATTCAACTTATTTCCTTAATGAAAACATAATAGTTGTATATTTTGCCAACATTCTCTATATATCTACTGTAATGTTTTAATTGTATGCTTCTGTATTTTCCTGTTTTAGAAACTAGAGGACCTGCTGAAGTCTGTTGAAGCTAATCGAAAGGTACATTGATCATAGTAATCTTTCTGTTTTTTTTGTGTATTTGGAAATGTTCTGAGCTCTGGGTTTTTTGCCCAGTAATATTGTGGGGAGAGCACTTAGTATTTACCTAATAATAATAATAATATACAACATTTGATATAGCACCCTATCTAGCTAACATAAGCCACTCTAAAGCGCTTTGTAGTATATAGATATACAATTAATACAATAAGCATACACATCAATCACTACAATTTTGAGGAATTTGTAGGAGCTGCCTTATCAGGCGCTAACTACTAGTCCTATGCCACCTGGCTAATATCTCCCTATGTGTATTATGCCTGCGTGTTTGCTGGAGATGTAATGTGTTCTGTTTGTAATGGGACTGTGCTTCCAGCGGCATCATTTATAGTGCCACCTCACTTGAATGCTACAGCACAGATACTGCAACATCCACCCCAGACCAATTTATACTCCACCTGGGTTGTTGGAGTTGTGTGGACAGAAGAAAAACACTTTCTCTGAATATCCATGCATGCGACGACTTCCGGGATCAAACCCGGGCCGCCTGCGTGGAAGGACAGAGTGTTTACCACTCGACCAATCCGACCATCTCACTATTCCATGGGATGGTCAATCTCTCCACTAATAAATACAAGTCAAACAGTCATCAAACTCTTTATCTGATTATTTGTTAGTAGTTTTACACCAATATGTCAATTATAGGGCACTGTGACCTACATTCCAACTAATTGACTCTGGTTTGGTATGCATCTAGATCCATGTGTTAGTAGTGGTTCTGTATTTATAAGTTATATAATAAAGTGTTTTAATTTAAACTGATGGATCATTACCCTCCAAACAGACTCTTTCCAGCCTCAATTTTAAGCTCACATAACAGGTAGTACCTGTAAGCTTAGGCAACAGTTTTTGTTGTTTGTCATAAACATTTCCTTGAAACAATTTCTTCTACACAACTCACTGTAAGGCTAGGATCGTGACATCTGGCCTGTAACTTGCTGTAATTGATAAGAATAAATTACCTCTGACCTGTTTTCACAGTTAAAGGAATAAAAATTTGTAAAAGTTAGAAAAAAATTCCTCTATAGACTCATAAGACCTAGGGTCATATTTGTCCTGTAGCTTGCTGGGAGTAAAGGACCATCAAGTTTGTTCAAATTGATGATCTTTGCCCACTTTCAGGGTCACAATGAGTCACATGTGTCAACTTCTTGCACTAAGCTATGATACTATCGGGGTTAACTTTCTATGTTTCAGTGAGTGATATATAGGGCCCCTAAAATGGCAAATTATATATTATACAGATATGAATTAATCATCTGCAAAATATTAGCACTTATTATCTTAACAAATGAAAAACCTTCTTCAAGCATGCAACTTCTTAAATTTGGGAGATATTATTGATTTTATTTGTTTGTAGGAGAAGGAGAAAACTTTACAAGATGCAGAAGACAAACTGCTTCAAGAGAGGACAAAGGCTGCTCTACGGGACAAAACTATCAAAGGGCTCCACTCTGTTATCACTACCAAAGCTAAGGAGGTAAGTATACACTGTTATCACTACCAAAGCTAAGGAGGTAAGTCTACACTCTGTTATCACTACCAAAGCTAAGGAGGTAAGTCTACACTCTGTTATCACTACCAAAGCTAAGGAGGTAAGTCTACACTGTTATCACTACCAAAGCTAAGGAGGTAAGTCTACACTGTTATCACTACCAAAGCTAAGGAGGTAAGTCTACACTGTTATCACTACCAAAGCTAAGGAGGTAAGTCTACACTGTTATCACTACCAAAGCTAAGGAGGTAAGTCTACACTGTTATCACTACCAAAGCTAAGGAGGTAAGTCTACACTGTTATCACTACCAAAGCTAAGGAGGTAAGTCTACACTGTTATCACTACCAAAGCTAAGGAGGTAAGTCTACACTGTTATCACTACCAAAGCTAAGGAGGTAAGTCTACACTGTTATCACTACCAAAGCTAAGGAGGTAAGTCTACACTGTTATCACTACCAAAGCTAAGGAGGTAAGTCTACACTGTTATCACTACCAAAGCTAAGGAGGTAAGTCTACACTGTTATCACTACCAAAGCTAAGGAGGTAAGTCTACACTGTTATCACTACCAAAGCTAAGTAGGTAAGTCTACTTTGTTATTTCTACCAAAGCTAAGGAGGTAAGTCTTCACCATGTTGTACAGCAGGTGGAACTTCACAGGTGTTCAGTGTAAATATGGTAAAAAGCTAAGTACCAATATGATTTTGAACTCAAAACATCTTTTCTATACATTGTTCATATTGAGAAATGGCTTGATTTGATGACATTCTTTACCATCTTACGTAAAATGAATGGGTCCTGTTCATTTTGGGCAATATTTTACTAAATGTTTTAGAAAAGCAGAAGGCATTATGGTTATTTTTCCAGTACCAAAGTAATTATGACCTTTCTATAAAAAACACCTTTGATGTCAAATTAATAAGTGTTTGTATAATAAATAACAGTTTTGCGCTTGTGAAACCATTTGCACCACTTTCACCTGCCACACTATTTATGATATCTATTTGATTAAATTAAGGAATATTAATTTGCCTGTGTATTTAATGTACATGTCAACACACAGGTAAAACCTATTCACCGATATTGAAGTAGACTCATCCTATGTCCATGCATACAAATCTCATGGTCCTAAGTACAGCTTTCACCCAGGTTTTTGAAGTGTGTATCAAAATGCTAAACACAAGGATTCATTTATCATTCTCTCTGTAACTTATCTAGATATTTTGGATTCATAGAGAAAAACCCATATGATAATGGTGTAAAAATATTCAATGTCAGCAGTTGTCCATCTTTAAAAAGTTGACAAAATAGGGGAAAAACCCACTTATATTATTAATCTGTTAAGATGGAAGCTTTGGCGGAGAAGTTGAAGGTGCGTGACGAGGAGATGAAGGCGATGCAGGAGGAATTCCAGGACACAGCAGTACAGCGACAGAAGGTAGGAGGCAGTGGGCCACTAGCAGACCAGCATGTGTTCATTTACATTGTCGTTCATGTTGAATTTATAGATGCATGGTTATGCATTTCTTTTTTAATGATGTTATTGGAAATTTTGTTATAAAAAAAAATGTTAGTAAATACATTTTAGAGAGAAAAAAATGCTTTTGAAAAACATCGTGAAAAATGTCTTACCGTAAAAACCCATGTAAGTTGCGCACTTTTTTTCCAGAAATATAATACCCAAAGTGGGGGGTGCGTAAAATACACAGGTATAGAAAATTTCAAGTTTTTTTCAGGAAAAGATCGACGATTCTGGGAGATCGCCATTTCGGATTATTTCCCTTGGTACACGTAACTCTAATTATGACGGTCAACAAATATATTTATGTCAAACATTAATAAAAGATACATAATGTGTTGTTATGTGAGTTTATGTGGAAAATATTATTAAATAGGTAACCGTTAACAAAAAAAGTGTAGCCAAATTCCTATGCCAGAGAATCGCCGATCAACTTACGACATTACGTTTCGACATCTCGGTGCATTTCTCCATACTATTACGAAAATGTAGTTGTTCAATTTAAGCTCCGTTCCATGTAAGTTCTGTAAGGTTATTTCAAATCGCCTATGCGTAAACGTATAGCATGGGGTTTTTTCGGCTCACTTTCATATTGATCTCTAACATTACGTAAACACGTGATTGATAATAACCTCGTGAATTATTTCACTATTTATTAAATGAAGCATCGTAAAAATAGTCTGCGTTAACTATTTTTTTCCTTGGAGTAGATTTGAAGAGTATGTATTGATTGTCCACGCTTCTAGTATAAACATATTTTTTATAATCCCTTATAAGTCAAATCAGTCTGTTATGACAATGCAGTAGGACTTCGTAATTCACGCCACGTGTTGGTGAGTGAAAAAACAACAACACGGTCCGTCGATCGCGACTGCAAATCATTTCAATTAATAGAGCTATTGTTAACGGGTAATCACAGAGATAGTGTTAGCTAATTTCTGCATTGTAATTTGTAAAAAATATCGCCAAACCACGGACTTACATAATCTAATTCCGTGGCCAAAATGAACTGTGACATGACCTGGTTTGAAGTGACGTACCCCAAGCCGCCATGATGAGCGCTTCTCACTGATCGTAATTATGATCAATAAAAGGTATATAATAAGGTCTTTCACCAGGAGATATGCACCAGCGGTTACTAAACATCGAATAACTTATTAATTGATATGTTTTTGTAAGCAAGTAAATGTTTTATGTAAAATATTGCTAAATCGATTCGATGTATGCATTTATGCGCACACGTGTTTGTCATGTGTGATCAGATAATTTAAAGAAAACAAGCAACAAAATACACATTTTACGTAGTTTCTTCTTTTTTTTTAATTATTATTTTACATCAATGAAAAAAAAATCATAGAAATATATATATTTTTTATTTATTCATGGATCGATTTTCGGAGCATGAACATCGTTTTTTTTCCAGTTTTTTTGGGTGCGCAAAATATTCGAGTAGAAGCTTTTTTCACGATTTTCAGCCTCAAAAAGTACCTGCGTAAATTACACAGGTGCGCAAATTACATGGATTTTTACGGTAAATATAATTGTTACATATATTAAAAATGTCATTAAGTGTACCTATTTTGGCAGTTATCATTAATTTTAGCACTTCATGCACTTTTAGTAAGTGCTAAATGATAACTGCTAAATATATATTACTGTCTACATGTTTGTTAAAAACAGCTATGGTGCTAATCATGATGCATGTAGCTTGAAATTTGTTGTCAATGCAAGGAAATGTGAATGTGTTAATAGAAGGACATTTACAGTATATCTACAATACATTTGAAGTATGCAATTGTTTACAGTATGTTTACAGTATACCTACAGTATGTTTACAGTATATCTACAGTATATCTACAGTACATTTACAGTACATTTACAGTATTTTACAGTACATTAGGCCATAAAAAATTTGATTACTTGGTTCTCAGGCCCACGCGCATTTCATGGCACCGTGCACATTGCCGATTTTATCGGGAAAGTAATAAAAAAAAAAGATGTGAATGCGCCAGTTGCCATCTTTAAAAAAAAACCGGAAAATTGGTCCGTTTACAGTATATTTATGTCCCATTAACAGTATGTTTACAGTACATAGTATGTTTACAGTCGATTTAAAGTATATCTACCGTACATTTGAAGTATGTTTCAGCATGTTTTACTGAGTTCAGTATAGAAGTCTCATAGTCTTGTGAGTTTATATACTGAGTTTATATGGGATCGGACATGCCACACAAATATTCATATCCCTTTACTCTTGTGTTAAAGCCTTAAGTTCAGCCTGGAATCAAACAAGCTATAAATAGTTATTCCAACTGAACCTGGTTCAGTAAGCAGATATCTTAATTCTAAATAATGAGAAATGCTGCACCATCTGCCTCTTGATTTGCTACATTTATGACTATTTTGTGGTATTACTGATGTGAGTGAGCATTTTGTGAAAACCTTACATCTCGTTGCTAGTCATAATAGATTGTGTTGTTGTCATGTGATAGCAAAAGTTCTCGTAGTGCTTCTTTGGAATATTAGAAATATGAGTTTGTGTATGAGATTGTCATTTCTGACATATTCATTTCAGATATCTTCATGTTATTACTAGTATGAATAACTGGTGAAAACAGTGAGCCGATCTAGTGTGACCAGACCAAATCTGGTCATTTAGCAGATATGGTCAAATTGATGTGGGAATTGTGTCTCCCCTTCGAATGAAGGGAAATTTATTGTATTAGTACTGGTTCTTCTTCTTCTTCTGGTTCTTCTGGTTCTTCTAATTGCAACTTGTCCAGGCCATAAAATTTAAACTGTTAAGATATCTTGATGAAACTTGAGGTATGCATGCATCACCTACAGAAGGTGTGCAGTGCACTGGAATTAGGTTTCGTGCCCCACTATATGAAGAGTTATAGCTCTTTGTATATTTTTAATACCAAAGTTTGTCTGGAGCACAAGTTCCATGTTATTTCACCTACCTTGACTAAACTTACCATATTTATTTATCTTTGGAAGGCAAAATCTCTCGCACTGATATCAAGTCTCATGACCCACTATATATATAGAGTTATAGCCATTTGTATATTTTTGATATCGAAGTTTGTCCGTGGCATAACTTCTTAACCCATTAAAGATATATTAATCAAACTTGAAGTATAACTGCATCACCCACAGAGGGTGTGCAGTGTCTTGTGCCCCACTTTATACAGAGTTATTGCCCTTTGTTTATTTTTGATACTTAAGTTTGTCCGGAGCATAAGTTCCATGTTATTTCACCTACGTATTTATGTATCTTGGGAAGGCAGAATCTCTCCCACTAAAATCCGGTCTCATGCCCCATTCTATATAGAGTTACGGCCCTTTGTTAATTTTTTATATCAAAATTTTTCTATTGGCTAATAAGGGGAGACATATTTTTGTTCACAAAAACATGTTTCAAGTTGAAAATGATTTTCCATTCAATTTGTCTCAAATTTAGCATAAATATCCCTGTTCAATGACTTTAGGCACGATTCTTCTCTGTAGGTTTCATATCATCACCTACTGCAGTCGGTATAACCTTGCTGTTAGGGGTGTAACGATACACTGCGCAACGATATGATACGTATTGCGATACACCACTCACGATACGATACATCTTAATTCTTTATTAATGATATTAAAACACTATAAAAAGCATAGCCATGTCTTGTTTTCAATGTTTTGTATCACTATCAAGTTCAACAGGAAATGACATGCCCATGGTGTGGTCCAAACAGTAACAATAAACTTTAAACCATTAATAGTTTCCAAATCAACATGAAATGAGTTAACTTTTCTTGGTACAAGATTGCTTTTCTTGTTAAACATGTTAGTCGTCCCGCCTGTGTGACGCATCTCCATATGACAGAACTTTTCTTGTTAAACATGTTATCGTCGTCCCGCCTGTGTGACTTATCTCCATATGACAGGGCCTACACACCTTGGTATCTTTCACTACCATCTGATTGTTGTTTTCGTTCGTAACCTTAAAACCAAACTTGGCCCACACACCGGACCTATAAGATGCCTGCGATGGTTGTAAACAAATTTCTTCTGCATCCGCCATTTTTACAAACACACCAGTGACAATGAGTGTAGACTTCTCTGCTCTCTCACATAAAAGAGTTCCATATAGCGGCAACACATTCACATTCCAAGTTCTGCGGACAAGAATGCAACACACGGGTGCATTATTAACTCACCTGGCACAAAGTGCCAAGTGAGCTTATGCCATGGCGCGGCGCCCGGCGTCCGTCCGTCCGGCGTCAATATTTTACTTTAAACAACTTCTTCTTAATAACCGAAAGGCCTAGGGTGTCGATATTTGGCCAGAAGCAAACTTGGATAAAGGGCTACAAAGTTTGTTAAAATTAATGACCTTCACCTATTTTCAAGGTCACAGGGGTCAAGTATGTCAAAAACTTTAAACATCTTCTTCTCAATAACCAAAGTACCCAGGGAGATGATATTTGGCCATTAGCATGCTTGGGTGAAGGGCTACCAAGTTTGTTCAAATGAATGACCTTCAACTATATTCAAGGTCACAGGGGTCAAATGTATTAATAAACCTTTAAACAACTTCTTCTCAATAACCAAAATGCCCTGGGTGATGATATTTGGCCAGTAGCATGCTGGGATGAAGGGCTACAAAGTTTGTTCAAATGAATGACCTTCACCCATATTCAAGGTCACAGGGGTCAAATATGTTAAAAACTTTAAACAACTTCTTCTGAATAACCAAAATGCCCAGGGTGATGATATTTAGTCAGTAGCATACTAGGATCAAGGGCTACCAAGTTTGTATAAATGTATGACCTTGAATCATATTCAAGGTCACAAGGAGCAAATATGTTCAAAATATTTCAACAACTTGTTCTGAATAACCAAAAGGCTCAGGATGTTGATATTTAGTCAGTAGCATATGCTGGGATCAAGGACTACTTTGTTTGTTTAAGTGAATGACTTTGACTTATATTCAAGGTCACAGGGGTCAAATTTGTTTAAAATCTTTAAACAACCTCTTCTGAATAACCATGGGTCCCAGGATGTTTATACTTTGCAAGTTGCATCCTGAGATGAAAGGCTATACAATATGTTCAACATAATGACTTTTTTCGACTTTCAATCACAGGGGTGAAATGTTTAAAAAAAAAATAACAGGGTCTTTTGAATAAATTTTAATCATAAATACTGATATTTTGCCTGTAGCTTGATGTTAGATCACTTTTAAGGTTACAAGTGCGAGTTTTATACCAGGTGAGCGATGCAGGCCCATTGGGCCTCTTGTTCATAATTAAATGAAATTGCTGCAATGTGACTTTTAAAGCAGGTTAATTGATGACTTTTATTTCCAATACATATAGTTGTGATTCGAGACATGTATCGTAGCTCCGTATATCGTGGTGCACCGGTGTATCGTTACACCCCTACTTGCTATTCAAAATTTACTTGTCATATCATATTGGCTATATTCGCCCATAGCTGATAAACTTTAATGGCAGTTAATGGCAGCAGTGTACAGTATCATGCAAACAAATGTAGTACATGTATGAAGTTTTATGCTCTGCATCCTTTTATCTTTAATTCTGTGTTCTCTAATTCTCAAAGATAAAATTCCTTGCTGTCAGGGTGTGACTCTCTTAATCACCAAACAATAAATAATCTGAAAGAAGAAACTTTCCCTAATGTACAAACTCCACAATAAACTAACACCTTATTTAACTTTAACCTTCTTCCTCCTAAAGTATGCGAACTCTATAGCTACAACCTGAGAAATTACCGACTGTCTAGTTCATTCAAATCTTTTATCCCTTCTATAAGACTATGGAACGATTTACCAAATACTGTCAGAGAACAGCCATCCATTAACATTTCTATTTTTTTCTATTAGGAAATCGTAAACTGAATATTTTACATATGATACAAGATTGCGTCATTCATGTAGAAGTTTAAATTATGATTTGTATAGAGTTAATATTATAGGTGATCCATTGTGTGAATGTGGAAATGGGTGAAAATGCAGTCCATTATAATTTTGATTGATGATATCTCATGTTATTGTAATATTTCTCTAAATGTCACTCGATACGGTTCTCCAAACCTGTCTGATGAAGAGTTAAGACAATGAAAATATCTTCCATATAGTCCAAACCTACATTAAAAATAGTAACAGATTTTAAGGTCAGTAGTATTATCGTATCATCTCTCTTTCATATTCTTCTGGTGCAAGTCCTTAATCCTATTTGGCCTTTTTATTAATAAGGGGAGTGACGCTATATGACGCAGTGTTATTTTTATCATAGAACTATATATAGCTCGTGCTGAAGGGTGTCCAGATCAACTTGTCCGAAATTTGGTGCAAGTCCTTAATCCTATTTAGACTTTTTATTAATGATGCATTAAATAAAACGTTACTTATAATAAGCCAGTCAATTGAAGGGTAATTATATAATGGCACTATATATGACCTTTGATTGTTGTACGATTACCTTTGATGACATTAACTCGGGTAATTGCCAACAGTGCAGCTATAGTATTACAGTGACATGGGAAAGTACCGAAAGAAAGACTAGGGTTATATTACATTTGGTATCATATTTAAGACATTGGCAGATTTGTATTTGTTACAGATTTTGTCTTTACTTCTGTAAAAGTGTACACAAAAAGAGAAATTCCCAGCTGTATGGACATTAGATTGCATAATTAGTGATCCAATAAAATACAATATTAAATTCTGGCAGGTTACATTGTATAATTTAGATGCATGTATTGCAAGATGTTACTACAGAGATAAAAAAGGGAAATTGTGTTTCAACTTTCTGTACAGAATATTAATGTGATTTTTCACAGCATACTTCAAAGTTTGCTGGACAATTCTAAACAAAAACTGTTTAAAAAATAATTATAAAAAAGGATTTGATTTCTTTTGGTTTTTACTATATGTTAAAAGTAATTTTCATACTTACCAATCTTAGATTATCTAGGTGAAATTTGAAACACAGAAAAGATGTTTGTTCGGGCCTTGAGTTTGGGATATAGATATATGTGTACAAACATTGTTTGTGATTATATAATTACAATGTTCCTTATGTGTTGTTGTTAAGTACAGTTGGTGTGGAACATCCAAACCAAATCTGGCCTGACTGTTAAAACCATGTTTACACTTTCAGAATTTAGATTAAGTTCATATGAGTTATATGGGACAAGTAAAACATTCTAAAAAATCATTTTAACAGAATTTGTTTTGAATGACTTCCACAAGCTGTACAAAGGACTGTTCTAACTTTGTGTTGTACTGTTTCTGCATGTATAAATTAGGAGTTAGATCGCCAACATGAGGAGAACAACTTTCTGGAGCAGAAGGAGGCCAGCATGAAGGTTCGTCTGGCAGAACAGGAAAATGAACTGGAGGTAATCTGGTGTTTGTGGCACCTTAACTTTATAGCTGGTGGAGGTTTTAACACAACTGTATATTGATTACCTCAGACTCAGTATTAACGTGTAGGATCACTGTTAACTACTTCAAAGGATGTAGAAACAAGCATTTCATATCCTTCTTACAACGTTTCCTTTTGAAATATATTAAATTGAAATATGATGCAAGTGCTTTATTCTTCTAAAATCATAAAACGTCCAGTGTTCCTTTCTTTCTCATCTTTTTTAAGTCAACTACAGAACAATCGGCATTCCTTAAGAGTTTATTTTCATTTACACACACCACTTACTGAAGTATATACATGAAGGGAAGTACACTTATTCATACAAGCATAATGTTGATCAAGGTTGCTGCACATAAATCTAAATATTCTGAGAAGTTACACTTTTCCTTATAATAAGTCATCAGTTTAAACCATATTTAAACCAAATTTGTTATGAACCATCCTTGGGATAAGAGAATCAATTGGTTTATAAATGAAGAATGAAATATGGGGAAATGATATTACTTTTAATGAAAATATTTCCCATAATTGTTGTAATATCCTGGTAAACAATGCAGGCCCTCTGGGCCTCTGTTTTTGCATTGCATGAATTTGTTCATATTTTTTTGATTTTTTTCCCTCAGTTTTGTTTTGCATGAAATTTTATTAGAATTATAACTTGAAACAGTATCCGAAAGGAAATATACCTTTATCTAATTATCACAATTATGCATGTTTTGTTTTTAAAGGTCTGATTGGGGGAGGGGGGGGGATTCTTATCAATAACAGTTTTACTGTAACATTGTGTTTGGATTTTAAATTTTCTAAATGTTTACATTAGATGCAATACACATTGGAAAGACAAATATTTTTCAAAAAAGTCTTAACGCCTAGGAATTTTCTGTGTATAAATAGAATGCCATTTGGATCAGTGTCTGTTGCCAGTCATTTCCCTCTTACCGTGAGAGTGGGATTTGTTGGGAATATATTGTATTGTCATTGGCATGAAACTTTAAATTTCTTTTGTCAAAAAGAGCAACAAATTAAATTTAAGCAAACAGTAAGCAAAAACATTGCACCTTGTCCAAAAAAAATCCTTTTCAATTTAATCTTATTTTCGATGAAAACAGAATTAAAATACTGACAATTTGTCCACGTGCGGTGATTTCAAAAACCTTATTTTTAGACGAAAGGTAAATACCTATACACAAACCATGATGGAAAGGATTCACCCTAATCCCAAATAATCCAGGTGGATTAAAGCCTTTTGGTCCCTATTCTATTCCCTAATCCACCAATCAAGAGGGAGTGAATAACAGGTTAATGAGGATTGGACTCTTATCTATATCAATCACCTGTATATCAAACAACAACTTACCCTCACAGTCCCGATTAGGACATTGAGGCCATATCATGGGGAATTTAAAAAATATATCCATACATGTATATGTGTATAGATATATGTGTATTGGTGAAGGATGACCATGTTTTATTACATGTGCTATGGGAAAAAAGATTTTGTTTATAAATAAATCAATTTCATTTAATGAATCTCTCGATTTGGGAGTAGAATGGTTTTAGTATTGTATAGTAATCCCTGTTTGGCCCCAGGACACCACAGGTACACGGAGATAATTACATCCCCTGTACAGGTAAATCTGTAATCCAAAGACTGATTGATCAACAATTAGTGATACATTATTTATCAGGTAGCTCCCCACACCTATAGCCGGCCGGTAATGCATAGAAGAGGCCAATACATTTAATTAAGCCGTACAGGTAGTCGGCAGCTTTATAGTACAACAGTGGTGATTGGAAGGCAAATTCAAAAAACTTAAACGTTAACTTTGGATTAGATTGGATGTATCACTATTACTTTGTGCCAATATTTACGAGTTGGTAAAAAAACCACTTTCAGTATATGTTAATTTTGCATGCGGAGAAATAAACCTAGTACGAAAACAATTTTGCATCAAAGCAGTTGTGAAAATGGTGTGGCTTAACTGCATGAGATGCCGAGGATAAACTTTGATTAATGGTATTTGCAATGAAGACCAACTTGATCAGAGTAATTAGAATGAAAACCGAATATTGGTGAACTGTGATGGAAAATAAAATAGCAAAAAAAAGAAGTAGTAAAATGACCAAAGAAAGATAGAAACTGACTGGGACACTTCTGTTTATAACTTTGATGGAAAAAACCATGTCAGAATTGATGCTTTGAAGCGGAGATGGAGGGTATTTGGGAGGAGGTTATGTGGGAGGAGGAACATACCTTACTGGGACTAGAGGATGATTATGTTCTCTACTCACAGAAGCTGATGAGGTCACTAGGTCGTAAGGAGGGAGAACTGGAGGGTTTTAAGGACCTCCTCAGCAAGGCACAGAACGCACTCCAGCAGAGCGAGGATGCTGTAGAGGTAGGCTGGTGTTCTGTATTAATTAGATCAAAACTGCATTTCCTGAACTATGATTGGCCAAGTTATTGTTAAATGTGTGTATATTGACTTAATGTAGTTATTTTTAGAAACAGTATATCTCGTTTCTGACATAACTTCAGTTGTAACATCTAAATTCTGTCCTGTCACATGCAGGCTTTTTTACTTGATGATTTTTTTGTTACTTCTTGTTTATTGATGAAACCAATATGATTTCAAAGCTAATATTTCATTAAGGGCATATTTTTGGGGGTATAAATATTTAGTTATTATTATCTGAAATGTGATACTGGCCTGAAATTCCTCTCAGGCTTATATATTTCTCATGTTCATAACACCACATATTCCCCTCCACAAAAGACCATGATCGGTAATTATGATCATCATTTCAACAAATATGACGTGCTGTGTTCACCATGTTTCTGAATTAGACTTCTTTATAAGATATTCATTTGCATAAGACTTATGTCATGAAGTATATTTTGGGCGAATTAATTTTGAGTTCCATGTTGGATAATTTAATTGCATGTGTAAAGAGATTGCTGCATTATAACAGAGTATTTCCATTTCACTTATTTATGTAAATTTTTACTGGTTACCATGGCAGGGGTTATTAAAACAGAAATAAGTACTTATTCCCTGAAGTATTAAAAATTTAAAAAATAGTGATCTAAAAATTAAAGGCTTCAATCTTTAATGGAATCAGGGAAGAAAAAAACGAACAAAAACACTGTACAGTCTTTTAGTGATACAAGACATTTCAACATAGGCAGGCACTTTTGTATAAATTTAAACTTCAATTCATTAATGCACTCAGACTGAAAAAATAGAAAATAATTAAAGTTACACTAGGATCATGGCAGGTCTGACACTATTCATTCGAAGATGGGAAGAAAAAACATACTCATGGGTTTTGATCAGCTGGGAACATTAATTGGGATCAGATATACCGGTAATAGTAATTACGGTTGACTAAGATACAGTTGTGGATATGAATTTTACAAAGTACTTGATTATATACTCATGTATATTTTAACATTATTTTTATTGGAGTTTCCTCCAATATTGGCAGTTAAGAGAATCTCATACTGAGAGTAACAAGTAGTCATGTTATCTAGATATCAATGTTAGCTGAAGACGTAATTAAGCATTCATTTAACACATCACTTGTTTTGAAGCAAATGTGGGTTAATATTGTTATTATCCCCAGAATGTTAATTTAAAATGGTACAGAAACAATTGATCAATTAATTGAATCAGTACCAGCATTTAATTATTGATTCATGTAAAAATGTATGTATATATAAACAAAATATCTTTTCATTAATCTTCGACACAAATTAAGTTAAAACAGTATGAACAAATTATAGTATCGAGAGTACAATTTTTTGCTTCAATGAGCTGTGACAATATAGTCTGGAAAGCTTGTGACAGTTTAACAACCCATTGCTAACTGACAGGTAACATTTGATTAAGACAGAATTTTCAGAGAGTTTTAACCATTGAAATATTATAAGAATTTGGTTATTGTGTTGCTCCAAAGTTTTTCCATCCATACATAAAAATAATTTGTGGAATTTCACATGATCAATACACTGTGATATATGTATGTAGATGTGCAATATGAGTGGAGGTTATACTGATTATGAGGTGAAAGTCATTTATTTGAAATATAATTGGAAGATATATATGTATATATTGACAAAAACACATCCTTTTGCCCTTTCTGACCCACCAGTGTATATCTTTGTAGTAACTAGTATTTGATAGATAATCTGCATCAATATAACACTATATTTAATTAAGGAGGAACCCGAAATCCAAGATTGAAGATGACCCTCATTCAAGGTTATTGAAATTAGACGGGTTGATGTACTATCAAAAGTACATGGTATGGCCCTCTCTGACTTGTTAGTATTCATTTTGATGGCAAGTAGTACTCGGAGGATGACACCATACACGTGTATTACCAAAATATAATGTCCAAAATTCAAGATGGCCTCAGATAGTCTTTTCTGATTGGCCTTGTCTGATTAGCCGAGATAGCTACCACTTTGGTTCTGTTGTGTTCTGTTGGTACAATTCTGTGCCAACATCCTGAAAAAAGTACCCTAGTTGCTAGTCTGCAAAGTGAATAATGACCTATTATAAACTATCTAGATCTAATAATCCAAGATGGCCACCATCAGTCTTCTTATTGACTGAGGTCTAATTTTGGCCATGATTTGTAACGGGTAATGTTCTGTTGGTCAAATTTGTTAATACTTAGTGGTAAATATTATTTCTATGATAAAACAGGTGTGCATCACCTTATTATCAATATTTTAAATTCCCTAATGTTCACTCTCAGTGATTGTTTTTTGCTCAGTTTTACTGCCGAATACAGACTTTTACCCTTAGCTAAAAAGTGCCTTATTTATCCAAAATCACCAAAAACTGAAGAATATATTTCCAAATTCAATACAAATGATGCTTTATTTTCCCAATTCATAAAGAAACAGGCTGTAGAAAAATTGAGGTAACAAAAACACTGTCTTTGGCATTTGCTTGGTAAGTATGGGGGATATATATGGTCAGGCACAAGACTAGGCCTTTCATGACTTGTCAGTATTCTAGTTAGGGCCCCGTATCGGAGATACGGGTGCCCTATTATAATCACTCTGTCTGTCTGTCTGTCTGTCTGTCCGTCCACAAATTCTGTTCCTGGCTGATAACTTTGGTATTTATTGACCGATGTACATGAAACTTGGTCAAGATGTTCAGTTCAAAAAAATACACATTGAGGTAAAAAATCAAGGTCGAAGGTCAAGGTCATTAGGTTCGAAGGTCAAGGTCATATTTTACATATTTTCACTGATGAACATTTTGTTATGACATCAAGGAGTCAACTGACCAAAGGTCAAGGTCATCAGGTCAGGGGTCAAGGTCAAATTTTGTTAATTTTCACTGGTGAAAATTTCGCTATGACATTATGAAGCAAAGTTGTTCGGAATTAAGCAAAGAGACACACTGAGGTAAAAAGTCAAGGTCATCAAATTCAAAGGTCAAGGTCAAATTTGCATCTTTTCACTGATAAACATTTTGTTATGAAATGATGAAGCAAAGTTGATCAGAATTAAACAAGGAGTCAACTGACCAAAGGTCAAGGTCATTGGGTCAAAGGTCAAGGTTAAATTTTATACCTTTTCCTTGATGAACATTTTGTTATGACATTATAGAGCAATGTTGTTCAGAACTTAACACAGAGTCAACTGACCTTAGGTCCAGGTTACGAGGGTCAAGGTCAAGTTTTGTTTTTTTTACTGATGAACATTTTGTTATGATATCAAGAAGCAAAGTTGGTCGGAATTAAAGAATAAGTCAACTGACCAAAGTTCAGGGTCACTAGGTTAATGGTAAAGGTCATTTGGGTCCAAAGGTCAAAGACAAAGTGGATCTCTGACTTCGACCCTGGCTCTTGATGTAGGAGGTACATAAGGTGAAATAAAACAAATCAAAGCTAACAAATGTGTATTGCACTGGTATTTACATTTCTGTTAGCCCAGCAAATATGGAAGTGGAAGGAAACAAGACTCACATCATAGTACATGTAAAATGTATATTTTGCTTCCTTGCAATACTTTTTGAAGTCCAAATGTCAAACGTCAAGCTCAGCTATATGGGCAGATGCTTCTTGATGATTATGGGGGATATATTGCCACAAGACGGGGCCCTTACTGACCTGTCAGTGTTCTAGTTTTCGTAAGAAAACAGATTTAAGCCGACATAATTACTGAATAAAATATAAGCCCCCCGTGTTTCTGTAGTGCAACAGTTTCTACGATGAATAATTAATGGTCATATAGCATTGTTCTTGGAAAGATAGTTGTAAGGTCAAGGTCATTTATTTATGGGATTCATATGTGTGATTATGTTTGAATTGAAGGAATCACATAGTGATAAAGGCCACTTGATCTGATTCTTTGATCATAAGATATCTGAGGATACATACATCCTTGACTCAAATTTTCAACACAGTCCAAAGTCGGGATTATTGTCTCATCTAGTGATGCTCAAACTTATATTATTCAAATGAAATTGTATAGCACATGTGGGTGATATAGATATATCTGAAAGGACGATATTTCATTTGATCTGAATACACTAGCAGTAGCATGCATGATATTCCTGATGTATATATATATATACTAAACACAATATAATTAGGCTATGTCTACGGCAAAATGTTTTCTAATTCCCTTTTTAATACATTAAAATTTACCCAAAACCATCTTAAGAATGGTATTCAATTTGTGTGTATTGTTTTTAATGAGTGACTGTTTGATTAACTACAGGTTCTCCAAGACCAACTGAAGAAGGAGCGAGTGCCCTCTCACCCCTCGTCTGCCCATAGTAGCCCAGTCAAGCATTACAAGGTAAGAAAGCCTAAATGTCCATGTTACAGGAGCATGGTCAAGCTCTACAAGATACATTTGTCTAGACTTTGGGCAATAGTCATACTGAGTTATGATAACCTTGCTTACCGGTACTTCCAGACAGTAGATTTCAACCCTAACTGTTTCAGCAGCATGGTATACGTACCGTGTGTCTGCATTTTCTGTCATATTCTGCTTGCTGTCCTGTATATACTATCTAGTCCAATAAAAAGGATTCTGTCTGCTTTATTTTGATCAGAATGGTAGGGTTTCAATAGCCAAGATCCCTCGACTTCATTTGAGGGGAAAACCCTTTAGAATGTGTAGCAAGTTCTAGTTGTCTGTAATCCAACCTTTTAGGTCAGAAATGACATATTACTGAATGATAAACAGTAGGAGTTCAGCTGATATTGAAGACACTGGTATGTGGTGATACAGTATGACATTCACAGCATATATGAGGTTATGTCATTTTAATATTCAACCAACAATTTTGAAAAAATGCAATATGCATGCATATACTTTTACCAATTGTAGGAAACTTCTCTATGAATTCCCTATACAAATTTTAAATGGACTCACATTTACAGCTGTTGAGGGTAAAAAAAAAATCTGACCTCAATAACTACTTTTAATGCCCTTGATCGGAATAAGAAAAAAACATACATTTTAAAGTCTGACAAAACGTCTCAGTCCCAGAGCTTCTTTGCTACATGTATATTTTCAGAAGAGGTTTTCTGAAACTTTTTAACATGCTCTTGGATACACATTCAGAAAGACAAATTTAAGACAATCTATACAGGAAATCTAGCTTGTCTATAAATCTTACTGTCAGGACTTTTGAAACCCAAACATTTTTTAATCATTTATAAATGACTGGTGTTTGTTTATGGCTCTGGGTAAGGGGTAGAATAATGTATTGCAAATTCTTTTTAAATCATGTTTAAATATTCATGAATTGTTTAATTTATATGTGTGATTCAAAATAAAGTACAATTGTGAAAAACCTGATCTGTTTATTTCAAAGATTTTTTTTCTCTCTTGTGTCTGAAATTTACATTTGTATCAAAGGCTAAAATATTTGTCCCTTTTTTCACACATATGTGAGAGGACCAATTTTGAGATATATACCTATTCCGTTTAATATAGTGTGTTCTAAATGTCGTAATGAACAGATCAAGTGTTTGCATTCAAAATAGTTTCTGTCTAGTATCGATTGTGTTTCTTAAAATTTGAAACAATTTAAAAGTATCATTGTGATATCGATGTCAAAAATACCCTATTTAGTATACTGTAACTTGTAAACAAAAACTGCCTAGAGTGTATTTGTCATCAGGATAAACAAAATTTGGTGAAATATGCTTTATGGTTTGGGTCTATGACATTTCATATTGTGTTGTATTTGTAAAATGTTCTTTATGAGAATATTCAGGTCACCTGTGCCAAAATCTCAGGTCACCTGTGGCAATCCATCTTTGTTTATCATGATATTTGGTATGTAGCTTAGTGGTGTAAAGTGATAGGAATTGTGGGATCTAAATTTTAAAATGACCTAGACCAACAAATTTGACTGAAGGTCACAGATATAAATTGAATGAGAGTTGAACAATACAAGCCAGTTGGACCTGTTATTGGCAGTTTGTATGTAGATTGTAGCCAATGGAATTGTAGTGTGTCACCAAATTTGACAGAATCTTGTCTTAAGTTCCCGCTGATAGAGACATTAAAATATTTTGTTTTGTGAGGATCTCGGAGGTGGCAAGGACTATGCTATCTTTGACCACATCAAGTATCTTAGGTTTCTTTTAACTGTGTAGAAACATAAATGAAGGGGTGATACCATTTATGATAATAGTATACTTAATGTCAGTATAATGTCCACCTTCCATCTAACTGATCTCTTCATACTTGCTTGATTCATTGAATTACAAATCTGGGGAGTGCAAGGTTCAACCTATCACTTATAAAAAACTATCGTAACTGTACATTACCCCATGTAAACCTAGTGACTTATAAAAACTATTGTAACTGTACATTACCCCATGTAAACCTAGTGGCTTATACAAACTATTGTAACCGTACATTACCCCATGGAAACCTAGTGCCTTAAAAACACTATCGTAACTGTACATTAACCCATGGAAACCTAGTGACTTATAAAAACTATTGTAACTCTACATTACCCCATGGAAACCTAGTGCCTTAAAAACACTATCGTAACTGTACATTACCCCATGGAAACCTAGTGGCTTATAAAAACTATCGTAACTGTACATAACCCCATGGAAACCTAGTGGCTTATACAAACTATTGTAACTGTACATTACCCCATGGAAACCTAGTGACTTATAAAAACTATTGTAACTGTACATTACCCCATGGAAACCTAGTGACTTATAAAAACTATTGTAACTGTACATTACCCCATTTAAACCTTGTGGCTTATAAAAACTATCGTAACTGTACATTACCCCATGTAAACCTAGTGGCTTATAAAAGCTATTGTGTAACTGTACATTACCCCATGTAAACCTAGTGGCTTATAAAAACTATTGTGTAACTGTACATTACCCCATGGAAACCTTGTGGCTTATAAAAACTATCGTAACTGCACATTACCCCATGGAAACCTAGTGGCTTATAAAAACTATCGTAACTGTACATTACCCCATGGAAACCTAGTGGCTTTATAAGTGATGTTTATTCTGTAACAATTGAAACCATGACCTCTTGCTTACTAATATAGTACTCCAAAACCCAAAGAAATATATATATATATATATAGCGATAAATAGTTTTAAATGTCCATGTGACGGTAAAAATATAAATACAGCAAAACACGAAGACCAGTATAATCGGCTAGCGCTTTCGCCCATCTTGGGGCTCTTCAGGCGATTTAAATATGTACTTCTTTATATATGTTTCATTGTGGTGCCTGCCACTGTTTTATAGGACTTGCTGGATGAGTCCCAGAAGCGTGTTTCTGAGAAGGACAGCATGATTCACCAACTAAATGATACACTCCGGGACAAGGACAAACAACTGCGCACATGTATGGGCATCTTTGACACCCCACAGGTCTGTAGTGTTCAATCATAATGCCATATTTCTACAAGGTCTTATTGCCCCATCTGAGATAATAATGTGTGAATAAAGTGTTTACTTTTTCTGTCAGGCAGTCTGTCTATTACTTGGTAAATGTTTTTTAAAAGTCATCAACCCTAAAATTTCTCGACGGAATGTTAAGTAATTTGCTAAAGATGTAAGTATCATGTGTACATGTTGAAAGTAAAAAGTCAGGATTGCAACATTGTTATAACATTGATTTCCCTCAAAAAAAAGAGAGAATGAAATGTTACCATACTACAGATAACTACCGAGACATGTACGTTACCATACTACAGATAACTACCGAGACATGTACGTTACCATACTACAGATAACTACCGAGACATGATACTAAGGAGAGGTATATTTGAAGACATCAGACACAGATCAGTGTGATAGCATTCCTTTCAGTGGTTAGTGAGAAAATGATGTTTGAAAAAAAAAGACTTTGACCTTAAGTGTCAAAAGTTTGCAAGAATCTTGGTGAAAATATTTGTTATGAAAATAATGTGTTATATTACATTTATCACTTAGGAAGTAAACAATGTTTCCAAAAAAAAAAAATCGGTGACCTTTAGCCTCTGTTATCTTCTTGTGCCTCATTTATATGAAGGTGAACAAATATAGCAACTTAGGAGATGTTGTAGTCATAACCTAGGAGATGTTGTAGTCATTACTTAGGAGATGTTGTAGTCATTACTTAGAAACATTTTGAACAACTTGATCCAAGTGACTTTGTAACCAGTTTTTAGCCCACCATCATCTGATGGTGGGCTATTCAAATCACCCTGCGTCTGTGGTCCGTCATCCATCCGTCGTCCGTCCGTAAACAATTCTTGTTATCAGTATTTCTCAAGAAGTACCAGAGGGATCTTTCTCAAATTTTATATGCAGGTTCCCCTTGGTCCTTAGCTGTGCAGGGCAACTTTTGAGACTGATCGGATAAACAACATGGCCGACAGGCAGCCATCTTGGATTTTGATAGTGAAAGTTTGTTATCGCTATTTCTCGGGAAGTACGGGAGGGATCTTTCTCAAATTTTAAATGTAGGTTCCCCTTGATCCCTCGTTGTGTATGTTATATTTTGAGACTGATCATAAAAACAAAATGGATTAAAAGAAGAACTAAACAGATCTTTCTCATATTGCAATGATCGATTCTATTTCTTTCACATTAAGTTCTGTACTAGTAAATATGTGAAATGACAAACTCACTTTGAAGGTTGGCTTTCATTCACATCAGTATTAAGTTTAGATCAAAAGTTACCTCAAGGTGCATTTACAAGGTTAATAATCATTATTAACATTTACACTAAGTATATAAATAAAAGTTCAATAAAAGTTTATTGAATGCCTTGTAATAAAATATTTGTTTATAATTAACAATATAAATATCAAAAACATTTAAAAAGTGTATTCCTTACACGTCATATCACAAAATCAAATATCTAAAAAATCGTTTGAGTACAAAACATAAAATTAAAGAAAAGATTAGTTATACATAAGTGATCTGTCATTTATACAGGAGGCACGGTTGTCTAGCAGTAGGACGCCGGGCTTGTGACTGAAGGGTTGCAGGTCCGACTCACGGCACGGCACTGTGTTGTATCTTTGAGCAAGATACTTTACTCCGCTTGTTCTAGTCTACTCAGCTGTAAATGAGTACGTGGTTGGGTAGAGCTAGAATTGTTGAATGCTAGCTGTGAGTGCCAAAATGGCAGCACTGGCTGTATGCTCCCCAGGGAGTTGAGAAAAATGTTGGCTGCTTGCAAAGGCCCTACGCTTTGAGACGACCCACAAACTAGCTTGTGATAAAGCGGATATAAGAACCTCGAATTATAATTATTATTATTATTTTTATACAGGATGCAGTTAGTGGTGAAATGGTGGACAAACTGACCAGACAACTGAAGGAGAGTGACCGTGCACTGGCTGTATGTTATTGTTACCAGCAGATTCATTGAATACATAAGTTAATATACATGTAATTTAAAAAATGAGGAAAAAAAATCAATTAATAGTATTTCTAAAAATGTCCAGAGATTAACATTATTTTTAAAAGTGCCAAAATATTTTAGCCACATTAGTTATTACCCACTAGCAACAAAGTGTGAGGGAACAATAGGTTTTGTACATACATTCAGCCCTTGTTAAAAAGACTTCAAATAACCTCTGCAGAACTTTTAAAGAAAAGGTTTCATCTATAAAGATAGAATGAGTTTATTACTTATTACTTATCTCTTTTACATTTTCTTTGTTCCACCAGAGGTTGCTGGAGGAACGTGCATTGGTGATTGCAGAGAAAGAGAAGAAGCTTGAGGAGTTAAGGGAAGTACTGAGTGATAAGGAGGCAGACATCGCTAGAGCTAACAAGATGCTGCTTGCTGCTGAGGATACCATAGATGTAGGTTACTGCCATACGCATTCCTAGCCCTACCGTCACCATACTTAACAAAGATGTATCCATATAGTCAATTCACCAAGTGCAGTAGAATCTAATACTGGACACCCATCTTCTCCTCCTTGTCATGTTGTTAGCTCATCAGTTAAATGGGGAATAATGTAAATATTTCACTTTGAAGAATGAGTTACGTCACTTTTCTATGTTTTAATGGCATCAACAACTGTAGCAGATAGCTATATAGACACATACAAAACTTGAATGTAGAAATATACTAGAGCATTTCTAACTTTTACCATGCACCATCTATCACTACTGCTATCTTTTCTGTGCAATAGAACATTTGTTACAATATGTTTCGTGTATGAAAATTAACTTCAATACATGATGTTTTTGATAATCATTGGAAATTGAAAAGTAAAACAGTATTTAAACATAAGGAAATCACAAGTGGTGATTTGTGGCACAAACTGATGTTTGATACAGCCAAAGTTTTATTGGAAAGTCTTTGCCAAAACAACTTGTGTTTATTAAAAGAAATGGCATTGTTTGGTGATAATACATGAAATTTGAATGCTCTAAGAGTCGTTACTACTGCTGCTACAGAACTTAACTCACAAACCAAGGAACCTGTGATGTTTTGTGGTGTCATGTAGGTCCAGATCCTATTGTCGAACATACATCTATCTACCTCTTCAAGAGGAGTGAATGTTATCAGTATGTCTGCTTTATGAAGAAAATATAGATTCTATTTTCAAAATTTTAAAATTGCAGAAATAAGGATATTGTTTTCTGAAATGGAATTAAAACTGATTTATTCTTCTTACAAGTGTTTGGAGAAGGCAAACAAGGAGAAAGCGAACAGTCTGCAGGTAGCAACAGACATGATGAGAGCTGCTGAACAGGCTTTACAGGTAATAGTTGTCTTTTACTCATTTGAGATTCCCCTATCTCACCCCCAAGGGGTTGAGAGATTCTATTAATCTTCTATTAACAACGACGTGACGCCAATGCGGAAAAGGCGAAATGGAATTAAAACCTACTACAATATATTTACCATATAAGTTAGAAAGATGAAATTATTTTTTCTGCACAAACTCTGTTTGCATATATAGGGTATGCTTAATCTCACTGACAGATTCGTTTTGTCTAAAAAGTTAGGGGGGTGGGGGGGATCGATATTTTCAAAATGGTAGCCAAGTCAGTCTAAAAATGATCTCGCCTTTTGTTTCCCAGGATGCCAAGCAGAGCTTTTCACAGGCCATGGCTGAGAAGGACTCTATAATTAGTCGTCTTCAGGACTCAATAGGGGACAAGGAGGCCCTGCTTAAGGTAAGCACAGTTGTCTCCCTTGTCACCTTAGTGGCATCATACAAAATTACTAACAAGTTGGGTAGGACATTGAGGAATCAAAATTGATTGATGTCACTTCTCACAGTCAAAATTGGTCACAATATAAAAGGTAGGCTGATAGTTATATTGAACAATTTACTTTTGATGGCATTTTTAGTTGTGAAATTGGAGAAAACAAACAGGTTTTACTCCATTTCTCCACCTCTAATGTGAAGTTTCTTGATACACATATGAAAGTCATAAAACTAATCGGTTTTGTTCTAAATCACTTTTGAACAAGTCCTTATGGTAAATGTTTTGATCGTTTGGTTTTCTAACTGTAGGAGACAATGAAGCGAGCCCCGATGACAACAGATGAAGTGATGGACTTGAAGAAAACGCTACAGAACAAGGATCGCACATTACAAGTAGATTTTCTGATACTTAGTGAACTCATTAAATTCTCTCATTAATGTGCAGTCATATATCATCGATGAAAGCTCCATTGATCTGGAAAACTGATAATCCTAAGCATGTAATTTCCTCCAGCAGTAGTAGAATTTTCACAGACATAGCTCATTCATGGTGTTTTCATGTGTGATCATGATGATAATGCAGATCTTTTTTTTAAGAGCACATGTTACAAATCTACCAGATTTTTTAACTGTACATGGAATTACATTTACTTCTTTTTAATCAATATGCATGCTCCTCCCACTCAGGATATGATTGACGAGAAGGACAAGACCCTGACAGCCAATGCCGAGTGTGTTAACAGCCTGCTGAAGAAACTGCAGGCCAGGGAGGCGGAGCTAAGTCAGATGAGTGACAAGCACAAGAAAGACATTGCTAACATGGAGCAAGAGACGCTGAAAATGAGTGGAGACTTGAGGAAGGTGGAAATGGAACTGAGGAGGAAACAGAATGAGTTACATGTGGGTTTAATTTAATTAATAACAGGTCTTCAAGCTTAGAATTCAACAATTACCCACCATAGACAATAGGTCTATGAGATACAGATTCCTTATAGATCTACTGAAATTTTGATAGGCCAGACCTTTTACCAGGAAAATTAAGTGTTCAATAACATGAAATGAAGAAAATATGGTAGTAATACAGAAAGACAAGTGATCACAGAGGACTTTATCACTCGCTTCTATTTTTATCACCAAAATAAAGTCATCATAGGAAATAAGTTAAAAGAGAAATTGGTTTATGAACTAAATTATTCAAATAGACCTGCAGTATTTTTCATGGTGATTGTCTATGGGCCGGGTCTACCATGAAGTATGAATGTCGGGTCTTGATTGAATTGATTTAATATTTAGACATCATGACCTGTCCATTTGTGACAGTTTTCTAATTTTGCTACAACATGTTGGTATGCTATATTTTTCTTTATGTTGACCAGTCTGCTGATAACCAGGCTAGTCGGTCACACCAGCAAAGTCAGGATGTTTTGGACAAATTACGAGCAGTCATCTCGGACAAGGACAAAACCATCAGTGTATGTTCCCATCTTTATTGTCTCTGTCAGCAATATCCTTGTTGATCTATAACAAGATAATGTCCCACTTCATGCTTGTGTGTGTGAGAATTACAGTAATTTACATGTTGTTTATAATACTGAAAAAGTAAAGAGTGAGAGGTAAGTCTACATTGGCCAAAGACTTCAATCAGGAGCTGTGAGTTTGTAACAGATGAGTCAGTAATGAGCTGTGTATTTAATAGATAAAGAGCAAGTGGTTGGATGAAAGTCAATAATCTGAGTGAAGAATGAGTCAATAATAGGCGATGTATCTGTAATTGGCAACATCAGATAATGGGCTACAAGTTTGTATAGGTGATGAGTCATAAATGTGATGAGAGTTTATATTACTTTGGGTATCAAGTTAATAGGTTAATTTGAGTTAAGAATTATTTGATTATATGTTGAGTGTTTGAAATGGGTAATGAGCAAATAATGGGTTGTGTTTAGTAATTAGTGTTGAACTGGTTTTCAGTTTAAGATTAAAATCAAGGTTTCAACAATTGTTTTTTTCAGAACTAAGAGCACTTGATATGATCTCTTGATATTACGATTTTCATCTTTTATGTGTTGCATTATTTCAGACACTGCTGGACAGTGTCCAGGAGAAGGACAAAGTGAATGGACAGCTCAGGCATGACCTTCAGAGCAAGGATGGTACGTAAACGAACTCGGAGAAAAATTTCCTTAAGTAATTAGTTTGAAGATAATGTAACAATTGTAATAGGTACTTTTGCATGCCACACTTCAGATTTAATGTCCCTGTTGTGTCCCACAGACCTGGTGGATAAGCTTCAGACGCTGTTGCGCCAGTCTCAGACAGGCTCCAGTGCAGACCTAAGTGCCAAACTCCAGGAGCTACAGATAGAGCTTGCTGTAAAAACCGAGGGGTTGAGGAATGCCAGACGTATGGAAGAGGACCTGCGAGAGCAGATTGTAAGTATTCTCCAAAAAATAGCTTATCATAATTCTTTGAATTTTAAAGTTGAGCTTTGCAGTGTAAAATTGTAATTTATTGGGGTTTAGTTGCTTGTTCAAAAAAGAAACATTTCAGAAGACACCTTAAAATTAAATCCATGAGAACCTCTTAATGAAACCTTCTATAAAACCCCTAGAGGAAGCCTTCTTTACGAGCATCTGATGAGAAAACTGTTTTGTTGCTTCCCCGGAAGATGTACTATAATTTGCTCAGTTTAAAAAATAGTTCTGGTTTGACTTGCAGCAGGAGCTGAAGCAGAAGTTAAACAGTGTGCCCCAAGGTGACCGGGAGTACCATACCCTGGAGAAACAAATATACTACCTCAAGGACAAACTGGAGGGTCAGGGCTGGACACCAGGAGGCAGCAGTCCAGGGTCACCAGGGGGCAGCAGTGCAGGGTCAAATGGTCAGCAGGTAAGAAGAGCCACTCCTACTAAAGAAAATACTATTACTGTTGTAAGCTTTTCTTGTTTCTTCAATGAACAAAAAACTTTTGGTAAATATTTTTTAAATGGGCTTATTACTTAGCAACTGTGCCATGTAAAAATAAAAAGTATTAAAGAATATAATAGACTAAGTGATGTTGCCACTTTATTGTTAGGTCCTACTGCAGGAGACATTGCAAGCCCAACTTGAAGAACTTAGGAGGTTGAATGCAGCAGTGCAAACAGAGCAACACCTTCTGGAGAGTATCAGAGACAAGAGTCAGGGGAGGTAAGCATGTTATGCTTTTTAGGCTGGGTAGGGTAACTGGATGCAAGATCAGAAGATGTTTAAGTATGCCATACAGGAGTTGGGCGAGTTTAACTTGACAAATTGTGGAGTGGTCAACAAATTAAGCATGGGGGTTCAATACAAGAATCAGAAGAGGTAAGCATGTCATATTTACCAAATATGGCAGGAATCAGAAGGATAAGAATGTTGTGTATACTAGAAACTATCTGCGGACATGAGTTAGGGGAGGAAAGCATCTTAACCCTATGGACAGGTATCAGTTGCCACAAGTAAGGGTAGATAAGCATATTACACTTAAATCATGTTTTCAGTAGCCATGAGTAAGGGGAGGTAAGCATCTTAACCCTATGGATAGGTATCAATATGTGATACCAAAGTTTATACAATTTCTTCACATCGTTGTATAGGTAAAAAATACAATTTACTCACTCAGTCATAGTTTGACAAAGGGACCAGTCGGTCTTGAAACATTGTGACACGTTGTTTGTGTAGAAAGTAAAACTTTGATATAACTTACAGTTGCCACGAGTAAGGGGAAGTAAGTATGTTGCGCTTACATCGGGTTTCATTAGATATGATGAAGAGTTAGTTGGTAAGCAAGTAACACTTATTCCAGGGTTTCAGTAGACATAAATAAGGGAATTTGAAGTAACCATGTTACACTTATCCCAGGTTTTAGTATTTCCCTTTCAGATTTATTTCAGGAAAAAACATGTAAATTATGCTAAATGTTAAACTTTTTCTTTTTCCCAACAATACCCTCAAAGCTGCTTGAGAGTTATGAAACTAGGCCTTGTTAACAGTATTAGTATCTGACTGTGAAGAAAAGACAAAATAGATAAAGTTTGGTAATAGTTCTCATTGTTTATTAGTGCTCTACTGGTACCACATGAGTGGACTCCTAATTTACCTACAATTACCAAAGTTTATATACAAGTACCTATCCGAACAGCAGAGTGCCGCATACTGATATTAAGTCTTGTGCCTATCTAAATCAGGTTTTCCTCCCTTTAGACAAAGTTTTCTCGGACAATTTTTGAAAGTTTTATGATGTATTTAACCGTTGCCACTCATTTGAGATGTACCTAAGGCTGTAACAGATGTTGTTAGTCCTATGTGCAGGTCTTTCTGCTCATCCCTTCTGGAAGATGACACATAAATGATACATTACATAGTTCAACAGAATGTCGATCAATTAGGACATGTGTATATTGTAATTTTGTGTAGCAGTTTTCATGCAATGCATTGTAGGTTCATATCTAGCACAAAGTATTTCCATCATCTGTTAAACAGCTGTCAGAACTTGACAGAAGTGGCGTATATGACTAGGAAAATAAATGAATTTTGATCTACATTTTGAACATGAACCACAACTGAGCACTTACTTTCAAGCTCTTCCAGTCCTAGTTATATACTCTTTACAAATTATAGCCATATCTTGTCTAGGGGACTAGTATTTCATCCAAATTCTGTGAAACCCCTCTGATGTTGTCACCTGAACTACCACTAGATATACTTTGTCAACTCTTCCAGCCCTAGTTATACCCTCTTTGCTAATAATTATAGCCAAATCTTGCCTAGATGATAATTTTCATCCAAATTGTGTGAAATTCCTCTGATGTTGTCACACACTCTAAAGTTGAACACCTGCTAATTTTTACAGTTGATGAATGTTTTCTGAAGGGACGGGGAACATTTTGGTTATCTCTGGATTCTTTATAAACCACTAGAAAACACTTCCTTTCAGTTGTTTTGGACAACCTTTCATTTCTACAACTCGGTACAAATGTACATAATTTAGACAACAGTTCATTGTGTAGTCTTAAGTTGTAATCGAGGAAAAACAGCCTGTCAATTATAGGAAATTGGAGTCAAAATGGATTGGATTTACAAATTAAGTGAAATGTGGTCTTAATTGGGGGAAAACATGAACAGACTTTTCTGATTCTGTAATATATAAAACAGCATATCATGTAATTACATATTGTGCCTTTAAAAAATATGTTAACAAATGTTTGCTGACATTATTCCAGTTGTTACCTGTGTTCATTATACAGTTATGTGTGTAACAAGGTGTTGTATTAATGTCTTATCCCCTCACTGAAATAAACATGTATTCAGAGAAATCAAACACAAACACACACTGATTTACTTTCGGGACTGAAAGTTTATCATTTTCTGCTGCCCATTGTGATGTCACGCCTCACTGACCCCTGATTCCTTCAAGTTGGAAAGAAACCAGAATGGAATATTCCAAAAATGTGTTGCATGCATAATCCATTAAAGATATGAGGTTGTCAGGATAAGATTTTATTCTTTCAGTTTTAATTACCTTGTCACACTTAATTTGGTAATTAATACCCAGAGTTTGTTATTGAAGGTTTAAAAGGATTTCTTAGGTAAATATAAATAATGGCCAACCCTTCAGGTGTTAAGCCTTGGTATAACATTGACACAATCTAATCCCAAATGTGGGGCTCCCAAGGGGATACAATTTGGGAGTAACTTTATCTATCTATATGTTATACTCCACAGAGACCAAAATGGCTTTAATGCGGAGACTTTATGACATTTTGATATGTTGTATATGGTCAGTGAGGAAAGTTGTATGTGTTGTAGAACAGCTAGGTTATGTTCTAGTGTTAAATAAGTCTGCCTGCATTCTTAATCTGTCATGCATGGAAAGTACACTGTAGTAATGAAATAATAAAAATACTATAACACTAAGAAGTTGATCTATAAAAATAGCCCAGTAAACACCAACCTAAACGGTGGTGATTAGGAGTACACCCTTGTTCACCAGTATATTTTTTGCTGAACACACATATGATTATCTGGTTTACACCAGATATTCAGCAACATGACCAGGTCTGAAGTGTAAATATCAGAAATGACATCTTTCGTATTTTCTCATGATACAGAGAAATGTTTGCTATCACACGGCAATATAACATTCTATTATAACTTACAATGAGATATTTGTGGTTCTTATGATATGAAGTGCTATTCTTAATACTATCAAATATAAATAAATGTAGATAATAGGCAGATTACATAGCATTTCTCATTGCTTATATATAATGCCAAAAGTGTTTTTCCACATCATAACCATATTTACTACTAATAAGTCATTATCTGGTCCTGAACAGATATGGGACTTTTAGAGACTGACATGTTTGTGAATATAACACATAAAAATAAAGTTGTCTCAACAACAAGAATTAAAAAAGCAAAGTCAAAGTGGTAAATATTTCATGCCTTAGTATTTTGAATATCATTAAGTGTCATCAAAAGTAAATGGTATCTACTGTACTGTAGACTTCTGGTTGGTGTGACCCTTGGTGTGCCTCACTAATTATGACGTTTAAATTATCTGATCAACAGTGACCACTCACAAGCAGTAGATGAGGAGCTGACCGCTGTCCGCACCCTGAGGAGGGAGTTGGAGGAAGGGGTGCAGCACAACCATCAGATGAGGACCATCCTGGAGGGACAGATGAAGGGTATATCAACCAAAGGTACAGCTTCCCCTCAATCCTTCAGCTTCACCAAGCATTTCTACAGTCTGTCTGTCTAACACTAGTAATTTCAGTTGGCGTAAACCTAGTGCGATTTATTTAAATGTTTGATATATGGGGAGGGGGACAAGAAAAATGTTGACTATTTAGATAATATTTTGTATATTTATCTTAAAATTCAGCACAAAACTTTATAGAAATGTACACAACAAAACACAATTTGATTTATATATTGAAGGGACAATTCATGATTCCTTATATCGTATACTGTTTTAGTTTATAATATCAATTTGTAATTTCTCAGAGTCTTCTCAAGAAAATGTGGATGACTTAAGGAAAACTCTGAACTTCCTGAAGCTTGAACTTGAGACAAGTAAGCTCAACAATAGGTTACTTCAGTCCAAAAATGACCTGCAACCGAGACAACGGGTAGACGGAGAGGGTAGAGCAGAATCGTACCACCAAGGGGCACAAACTTCACCAGTGGCAGCTACATGGAGTCCCGGTAAGAATCGGAGTCCTTCACCTATTGATGTAAATGTTCAGCTGAATCGCCAGACCTTGTCTGACATGTCTGCCCCAATGTTGCGGAAATTGATCAGACAGTTACAACAACAACTGAGTCAGGAGGAGAAAGAGAATGCAGAGCTACGCAGGAAACTTAGTGTTATGGAAGATGTACGCAACATTCCAGGGAAGAATGACGACGACGAGAACAGCATACCGTACCTACGATCAGAGATTGAGAGACTGGAAAGGGAAGTGATCAGAAAGGAGGAGATGATTGGTGAGTTACAGGTCAGATTAGGCTCACAGGAGCGAGACAGCAGTGCAGGTGGTGTAACAGACCTTAAGAACGAAGTCAAGAAATTAACACTTCAGTTAAATCACACACAGGAAGTTATTTCAATGTTGAAACAACAGCTGATATTAAACGCTCAAAGTAAAGGAAGTGACTTTGATCCCGAGCTCATTGTACAGATGGCTGGTGAAATACAGAAACTGAAGTTAGAATGTGACAAGGCAAGGCGTGGAGGATCCACATCATCAGATACATCAGAAGTGTGTAGTTCAGTTAGTGCTCCATCACTAATTGGGGACGGCTCATTGAAGGGCCGCTCTCTTAAGAAAAGCAGCCAGATTCCTCGTCCAAGAATCGGAAGCACACCTGTTGTAGGGGATATTTCTTCCATAAACCAGCCTGAAACACTCAAAACACTGCTGATGGAATCCAAAAAACGCATCACTGACCTGGAGGACAAGCTGAAGGCCACAGAGGGTACTGTACGATATCAGACGCAGAAGATGAAGTATTACAAAGGCCTCCTGGAGGATAATGGATTAATCCAACGCAGCCCAATGTGTAGCAGATCTAGTAGCGAAAGCAACCTAGCAGCACTATTCAGTAAGATTCCAGTACGCAAACGTACCGCTTCACAAGAACATTTACCATCCGTTGTTGGGTCTATGGATTCTGCCATTGGATCCGATTATGGGGGTGCTATGGATACAGTGTTTGAGAGGTTTGGTAAAACTGACGACAAGGAGACTCTGAAGGATCAAGTGACACAATTGAGGGAACTTCTCGTCCGACAGAGCAGAGACATCAAAGCTTTGAGAGACAAATCAGAGAAGGTAACGTCAGCATTTATTCCCTTCAATTCATGAACTTGTTGTATACAGATAATCCTTGAAGCCAATTTACATATAGGGGACATAGGACATTCAGATTGCTGCCTATTTGTATGGGTTTAGAGGTTATGACTCAAACTGATGCACCAGTTAAAATGTAATGCATGGTTTCCTTGTCATAGTAGGTTGTGTGTGATGTGTTACTTAATTTATTTCCAAAACTTCAGTAAAGTTTAAAAGTATCAAGTATTTTCATCCTGTATTTATATATAGACTTATAAAGCAAGTTATGACAGTATCTTGCATAAAAATTCATGATATAAGAACTAAAGTTGTTCATGAGCCATACATGTAGAGCTAAGACTTTTAATGATTCTTGTTAAGATGTTTATAATAATCTTTTGGTAAAACTTGTGTGTTGTGATCCCATGTTAGCAATGGAAAGTGTTGTATGATCTCTTTAGCCTGAACTAAATATTTAAGTTAGTCATATAATGAATTTTTTGGTTATTTTCCCAGGAAAAGCAGCAACGCCCAACAGACCGACTGGACCAGAATGCCCAGACACTTCACAGCCTCGACGACACGTTAGTGTCGCGCCACACTTTACAGGACCTGTACCAACAGATGGAGACACTGCAGAGGAATCTACAAGAGACGCAGGACACTAACGCAGAACTTCAGCACAAACTTCTACAGCTTCAACACCACAACGCAGATACCTTACAACTACAGCTCAAAGACAGTCAGGCACAGACTGCGGTCCTAGAGGAAAAGATTGCAGCCTTCCAAAACTCGTCTGTTCACGAAATATTAGAGGCCCAAAAATCTGAGCTTGTCATGTTGAGGAAAAAATTCTCAGATACCCAGAACTCTTGTACCCAGCTGAACTACTGGCTTGAAGAAGTTAGCACGTTTCTCACTGAACTTGTGTATGTAGACGAGGACGGCGATCGCAATCAGGTCCGTGGAATGAAACACAAGGTGGATATGTCGAAGACCATCGTCCGTAATATGTCTACCTGTATACTGGGTAGGTACCTGTACAATGTCAGTCAGGCTCTTTCTTTATCAAGGTTGACTAGTTTATCTACTTTAAATACCACATTTTCATGGGTATTATTTGGTGCATGCGTAAATGTTTATTGAATTGAATATACCAAGGCTCAACTTCATAAAATAAAGGACCATCATTTTTTTCTTAAACGTGTAACTAATGTCTAATGAGTCAAACCATTTGAAACACAATTAACAAAACTAATTAAGGTAATCTAATAAGACGTTCCTTGAGAACTAGAATAGTATTGATTGTGTCCTTATTGTAACTTTGTAGATTCCTTTGACGCAAGTTATGATGTCACCTCTGATCAACCGCAGACAGACGAGAGTAAAGGATTGGTAGCTGAAAATGAGGCTCTGCGTAGGAGCGAGACAAAGTATGTGTAAAATTGACAAACTTATCAACAATTGTATGGTGTGAGATTGTGACCGATCTTTTTGTACGGAGGGAAGTTTGTTTAATTTTTGTACCTATTACAGGATTTTATGACAATATTTATAAACTTTAAAGATTGAGCCATATCTTTTTATACAAAGATGTAAAACATTTTTTGGTCAAGTAATCCAATATCGTAAACTGATACAAAAGACATTTCAGAGATGATGACAGTTTTAAAATGTCATTTTTCTCCTATTTAAAACTCCCTATACTCACCTAAGAATAAAAGTGATTATTCCATTGGCATTGCATTATTTCACTTGAACATTTATATAGGTTACCACATCTATATTTAGAAAACAAATTTAACTGCTAACAGTGTGTCACCAGACAGTAAAAAGCAAATTTAAAAATGTTCTCTGTTTATTAATTTTGCCTGTCTTTTTTGTATGTTGAGAAATAACATATATTTATATTTTTGCACAGTCTAACAGAAGGTCTACGACAAAAGAACTTGGAGGTCGAAAAACTGACCAATGAACTACGCAAGAAGAACATGCTTGTTGACCAGTTACACCAGGAATTGCTTCACTTCCATCAGATGAACAGGAAGTCGGAGTCGCCGAAATCCTCATCTACAGTCAGTAGTGCTGACGGAAATGTCACTCCCAGCGGGAAAATGTCCAAAGGAACACATGAACTTTCCAACAGATCTCCAAGTAATTCACAAATCTCGGAACAAGTTAGTCAGGTGAGCAGTCTCAGGTCACCGGAGCGCATGCGTCACATGACTGGTAGCAGTTTTACAGATGGCAGCCATCTTAGATTAGACAAGACACAGGAAGGTGTTGTGATTGTTGAGGACGTAGCTGATTCCAGTCAGGGATCAACAGGCTACCATTCTTCTCATTTGTCTGGAGATGATTTCATGCAAGGCCCAGGTCACTTACACAGCACAACTGAGTCGGACAAGGAAAATTCCTCTATTTATATTAGTGCATTTGACACAGATGAAAAACTTATGTACAACAGACGTTTAGCAGACGGACAGATGTTTGACAATACGCTGACCCCACCTGTGTTCAAGTTGAATGGAGATACTTCTCTACCTACAAAGATTGCAAAAGCAACTGATGGTCGTCATGTTGAGTTTAGTATTTTAGATAAATCTGAGAGAGAAGAGGGCGAGGTAGAATCATTGCGGGCTCGACTGAGCGCTGTGGAAGATCTGAACAAAACTCTAAAAGATGAACTTAATGTGTATGAAAATCTGTGCACTTCCATTGGAGTTCAGAATTCACCCACTAAAATGTCGCCATGCTCAAAGAGTAAACAGGAAACTGACACAGACCTGCTGCGTCAACATCTGTCAGAACTCCGGGCATTACGGATAAAGCTAGAGCATTCTGTCACGGACAGTGACCGACTAAGACATCAGCTGGAACTGGACATGGATGGGCACAAGATAACAACAGGTTAGTTAAACTATGGATCTGTCTACAATAGATATTATGTCACTTCAAATAGAGGCTTTCAGCTTTCTGTTTCTACAAAATGTCTGCTTTTGTATTTCTTAGCAGTCGTACTACTTAGCCATCTTCCCTATGACCGTCCTATATGACCTTGTGATGATGGCAGTTGCTACTATTTCTTCATAATTCACTCTGGGCAGAAGGAAATATTTTTTAAGATTCATGTGCATGGCATTGCTTAATAAAATCATGTCCACAAAAATCTCACTTGTATGAATTTTAAAAAAAAGTGATTACACAATTGTTACTTGTTGTAAACATAATTGCAGATTCCACACAAAACGTGTACATGTACAGTAAGCAACAGACGACAATCACCGAACTACAGCAGACAATCCGTCTGCTACAACAGCAACTGAAGGAGAACCAGTCAACAGTTCGTGACAAGATCATCACCATCCAGGAGAGGGAGTGGACCATACAAAAATTACAGCAGGAACTGTCTGATACAAAACAGCAACACACTCGCAGTCCCAACATCAAAACACAGACGCCAGAAAAGGATGTCTCTATCCGTGAGTGGCACGAGAATGTCCGCAGCCAGGAGCAGACATGTGTGTTACAGCAGAGGCGGATAGAACAGCAGGACAATCTACTGGAGCAGCTACGCAAAAAGTTACAGGTAAGGCTAGGTCATGGCAACTACAGGTGAGTCTTATTAGTCCCCCAGCTATAGTTCCCGGAGGAGGGACCCGGGGAACTATAGGTTTGCACTCTGTCCATCCATCTTTCTGTCTTGTCAGTAGAGTTGTGAGGGTCATATCTTCTATACTATTTCATCTGGAGTTACTAGATTTGTTGTACATGTACATCTTGGAATGGCAGAGTGGCAAGAGTAAAAAGGAAGCTACATGGGCCTATGGTTGTCCTATGACCTCAACTTTTAGAAAAGTTTGTCCAGAGATATCTTCTATAGTATTTCACCTTGAGTAACCAGATTTTTGACCTATATCAATAAAGAAATCATTAACCGTGGGAGACTATGGATTGCCTTGCAATACTTTGCCTTGTTGATTAATGTATGGTCAAAACTATTCTTGTATAATGACAAAAAAGAATCTTTTACAAAATGCACGTAATACAATTTGAATATTAAGAGATATTGTGCTTATCCTATTTTTGTATTTTCTATATTAAAAAAAAGCATTGAAAATGAAAACATTTTTTTTTTTAAATATTTTATTATTGATAAATTGATATATTATTACATGTTCATATAAATATGATATCAAAGCATGTTGAACATGCGGTGACATTTATCACTGTCTGCTGACACCTGGTGTGAGAGGTACGTCACAGTATATGTAGCATTGAAAACACTAATACATTCGACTCTGTCTATTAAAATTGTCTGCTGACACTTGTGTTAACAGCTACAGGAGCACAGTCTCCATCAACAGGAGACCAAACTGAAGGAGATGTACGAGTCTGCAGGGCAGCAGAAGGACCAAGACATGCATGACAAAGACAACATGATTCTACGGCGGGGTAAGCAAATCGCTCAACTGGAACAGTCCACCGAACGCCTTGAAAAGAAAATCTCTCAATTGGAAGATTGCATTAAAAAACAAGAAGAACAGGTCAAACAAAAGGAAAGTTGCATAAAAACTATGAAAGGAGAATTGCAAAAACAGGAAGATACCATTCAACACCAGGGAGATGTTGTGAAACAGAGAGAGAAAGTCATCAGGAAACTCAAGGATGAAGTGCATAAAAAGGTTGACATCATCAAGCAGCAAGGGGAGACAATAACTGATAAGGAGACAGCAATGAAGTCGCTGAGCCGTGTCGTACATGAACAGGCGGACCACATGCGAAACAAGGACAACACTCTTCTGAAATATGACAAGGAAGTAAGATCCCTTAATGAGAAGGTGAAGCAGCTGGATCAGCTGAAGGCAGAGAAGGATGAGGCTAACAATCGCCTGGTACAGAGGAATGAGATCCTAGACCAAGATAACTGTAAGCTAGTGGCACGCAACGAAGAACTTGACTCTCAACTCAAACACAGCAGCAAGGAAGTTGACAGGTAAGGGCAGATAGCTGAAAGGAGAGTTCTAGGCTGGGGTCAATAATGTTGGGGAATTTTGTTCATCAATGGTGTATTTTGAAAGTATTATATTTAATGAAAAATATGGCTAGATTTATTTATGTAACTGTTCTGATATATTTTATCAGACAACTGTAAACTCATTTATTTTAGTGCACTTAAATTTTATTGCATTATCAAATTTTAATATAGAAAAGCTCATTGATGAATTAGCCCACCAGCAATATGAATAGGAAACTGTATACAGAAAGTTCAGTTGCTGCATATTATATCTTAGCTCAATATTTGTATCATGAAAAATGCTGCAATAAGTTAATAGCTAAAATATGTGCATTTACAGAGATATGCTGTAAACAACTGTTGGTTTGATGGTGTTTGTTTTGCACTTCTAGGCTGAAGCAGGAGATGGAAACCATGCTGGAGAAAGCACAAGAGAACCAAGACTTAAATAAGACTCTCAAACTGGAACTCAGTGTGTATGAGAAACTACAGTCTGAAGGTATTATCAACATCTATACATACTTGTATTATATATGGGTCAAAGAAGTAATATAGACGGTAAAATCCCATATAACACTGGATCCTAATGGAGGTATGTCCGTAGGATACGAATTACTTATATATATATAATTATATTTTTTATTTACATATTAAGTTTAGTCAAACTACATTGAAGATGAAGAATCGCCACCAAACTTGTATCATAAGTAAACTTTGAGGTGTTGGAAGAAAATAAAATTGATATCAATATGTTTGACATTATTCAAAAAACATTTTTGGTGACTATATGTCAAAAAGATATTTCTTATGCAATGTTTTCTTTTTAATCCTGACACACAGACAGCAGCAGTAAACCCCTGGGAGGCTTCGACATCCGCGAACTCCTGACGGAAATCCGACACCTCCGTGTCCAGCTGGAGAGATGTATTGACACCAACAATGCCCTCCGACAGAAACTGGAAGAACACCTTCTACACCAAGCCAGTCCTCAACAAGTCACCACTACAACCACCAATTACTTCACTGTCAAAGATGGCAGTCCCACTCGCTCTAACGGTAAACACTAGGTTATATCTGTTACTGTCACTCCACCCCCCAAGGGTAGCAGTCCCACCCACTCTAACGGTAAACACTAGGTTATATCTGTTACTGTCGCTACAACCACCAAGGGTAGCAGTCCCACACGCTCTAACGGTAAACACTAGGTTATATCTGTTACTGTCGCTACAACCACCAAGGGTAGCAGTCCCACACACTCTAATGGTAAAAACTAGGTTATATTTGCTACTGTCACTACAACCACCAAGGGTAGAAGTCCCACACACTCTAACGGTAAACACTAGGTTATATCTGTTACTGTCACTGCAACCACCAAGGGTAGCAGTCCCACACGCTCTAACGGTAAACACTAGGTTATATCTGTTACTGTCGCTACAACCACCAAGGGTAGCAGTCCCACTCGCTCTAATGGTAAACACTAGGTTATATCTGTTACTGCCACTACAACCACCAATGGTAGCAGTCCCACACACTCTAACGGCAAACACTAGGTTATATCTGTTACTGTCGCTACAACCACCAAGGGTAGCAGTCCCACACCCTCTAACGGTAAACACTAGGTTATATCTGTTACTGCCACTACAACCACCAATGGTAGCAGTCCCACACACTATAATGGTAAACACTAGGTTATATATGTTACTGTCACTACAACCACCAATGGGAGCAGTCCCACACACTATAATGGTAAACACTAGGTTATATATGTTACTGTCACTACAACCACCAATGGTAGCAGTCCCACACACTCTAACGGTAAACACTAGGTTATATCTGTTACTGCCACTACAACCACCAATGGTAGCAGTCCCACACACTATAATGGTAAACACTAGGTAATATCTGTTACTGTCACTACAACCACCAAAGGTAGCAGTCCCACACACTATAATGGTAAACACTAGGTAATATCTGTTACTGTCACTACAACCACCAAGGATTGCGGTCCCACACACTCTAATGGTAAACACTAGGTTATATCTGTTACTGCCACTACAACCACCAATGGTAGCAGTCCCACACACTCTAACGGTAATCACTAGGTTATATCTGTTACTGTCACTGCAACCACCAAGGGTAGCAGTCCCACACCCTCTAACGGTAAACACTAGGTTATATCTGTTACTGCCACTACAACCACCAATGGTAGCAGTCCCACACACTCTAACGGCAAACACTAGGTTATATCTGTTACTGTCACTACTACCACCAAGGGTAGCAGTCCCACACACTATAATGGTAAACACTAGGTTATATATGTTACTGCCACTACAACCACCAATGGTAGCAGTCCCACACACTATAATGGTAAACACTAGGTTATATCTGTTACTGTCACTGCAACCACCAAGGGTAGCAGTCCCACACACTATAATGGTAAACACTAGGTAATATCTGTTACTGTCACTACAACCACCAAGGGTAACAGTCCCACACACTCTAATGGTAAAAACTAGGTTATATTTGTTACTGTCACTACAACCACCAAGGGTAGCAGTCTCTAATGGTAAGACTACATTGTAAGTTTTACAGACCCACACCCAACAACTACCAATATTTTCACCGCCAAGGAGGTCTGTCCTGTCCCTTCTAGCAGTAGTACAATATTTTATTACCACTCACAACTGAACTGAACTCCGAGGTCAAGGAAGTCTGGCCCACCCAATTAAATGCTGTGAACCTTTTGATGTTACAATCATTCAACAATTAAAATGTATTAGATTGCTATTTTATGAATTTTTATGTACTTCTTGATAAAATCACCAGTAATATAAACCTTTTAATATCCAGATGGTTTGGTTTAGAATGGTTTAGTTTTGTTTAATGTCCTATTAAAAGCTAAGATCATTTAAGGTCAAAATATCCAGATAAAATGTTGGGATGAATATTTATCTGTAGCTCATTATTTAACTATTAAATGTTTAATTTTATTTACAACTGTAAATTTTATCCGTCTCACTTCTGCTGTAATCATGAGTTTATGTTTCTGGTTGCATTTCACTAGGAACTGATGTCCCAGATGGTCAGCCCAATCCAGAGAGGCCATATGTAAATGGAGCACTGACCATCAGACGTGTCCAGAGTCATCAAGTCCCTATGGGGTCAAGGTCAGCCAGTGGATCGTTTGCTTCCAACAGTAGCGACACCATGTCAGGTAAGTGTTACCTTAACAACAGGAACAGATAACCTGAAGTAATATCTAATATAGATGGGTTATTTTTCTAAGTGTTACAGGTATTGGTTCAAACTACTTTTCTAACTTTTAAAATCATTTGAAGTGTTTCTCTGTAACCTTTCCATGTTGACTGATCAGAAGCTATACTGCGTATGTAATATGGGTTGTAAGGAATCTGGTCAGTCAGAAAAAAACGAAAAAGTCTACCTGGTAATCCTATGGTAGACAAATATGCTACCAGAAATTTCTCGAAACTTTAGCTCTGTGTGTTTCTAATCTTGTGTGTAATAATATAAGCAGTAAACCACATGAAATCATGATGATGTTAATAAAATAAATTTTATACAGGAAAATATCACATATTACAATGTCTAGTTTTGGTACCTAATAGACAATTAAGAGGACAAAAATTTACATATATATTCTTAGAAACTTGATGTCACATTCATTGGGAGTCATCTCGACATTGTTTTTCTTTCCTATAAAATCTAAAAACATAGTAATTTTATTTAAACACATATATTTGCTCAATAAATCATTTCGGCATTGACAACTAGCTTTACCCATTCATTTGATGGTGATTTGCTCGGTGATTGATCAGAGAAATCCAGTGACTTTTTCTTTGACATTGTATATATGACAAACTTTTACGTACCTGTATTCAGCCCTAGAGAGATGTTATTGATACTTCTCATTGGAATCCTATTGGGAGTGGGTTGATAAACTGATTGGGACTGTGGTAGGCTACCTCTCACAAAATAAAGTCATCTTGATACTCATGTGGTTCTTTAGTTGGATATACTATTGTAATAGGAATTAAATATTAATTCCGTAAAATTCTATCTGATTCACATAATTTAAGTGTATTTGCACCAACTCGTTGAACTTTTTTCTCACACTGTTTTTGGGTCTCACTGAAATATATCCATGTGTGACTTACATCTTGGAGTCAAGATCACTTTGCCAGTTCTTTGATTTTATTAACAGTTTTAGAGGAAAAAATGTACATGCTGACTATTTTATACTTTTAAAAGTGAATTAAAATCATTCAAAACGGTTTTAATCTGTTTTAGACTGGTTTACAGGTTATTTTCTTGCCAATGGACTTGAGCAAGTCTAATATTTGTTGACCATTTCTATGGCGAAGAGTGAGTAGACCTGCTCAAGACTATATATCGACAGAAATTGAGTTACATGTATAATCATAGAAACTGATAGCTTGTCTAGATCTGCTTCTATACCAACACTTTGATAAAATTAAGTCTCCACTAATAATGATATGAAACACGGGGCTAGTCATGTAGTGGTCTTGACTCCTAGCTTGTGCTGTGTGTGTACCTAACTTGGATTTCTTCACTTCACCCCTAACAGTCTCCTGCCCCAGTGATACACCCTCTTTGTCTGGCTTCGGTATATCAACATGGCCTCCTATGTCGTCTGAAAATGTCATGTTCAGCCAGCAGAGGGAGCTGTGTGTGTCGCAGTCCTCACCAGGGGGCACTCTGCACCAGTCGCTGGTCGACCTGGCAAAATTGGGATACAACTCACGGCCCGTGATGTCTGAAGGGAATTTATCATATTATGTTGACGATCCCCCTAGCTCTGTCGCAGGTACTTATTGTGGAGAAACTTCTTTATCAAGACCAGGAAAGATGTGATTTACGTTATCAATATTCCCACTTGTTCATCGGTATAAGTCATAGCACCTTTAAAAAAATTAAAAATCCATGATTTGTTAAACTGTATCTTACCTGTAATAAACCTAGCAATCAGTCTTTAATTCAGGCTCTGTGTATTTCGGAATAAGAGACCCTTATGGGGAAAAAACAGAAATTAAAAGACTTTAGCAGGAAAATTTCAGAAAAAAACCTCTCATTTGTAAAGTCTTTGAACGTACAGAAATCAAGGTGATCAGTATCCACTTACCTGATTTTCCTTACAATGATTGTAAAAGTCTGCCGCAGCGATTTAAAAAAGATTTTTCTCGTGAGAAAAGTTTGTTTAATTTCAATTTGTGTTTTTTGTAACATTACTTAAGTTTTCACATCCTAACAAAGTAGCAAAGTCATACCTGATACATTTAACCCTCTGTTATACGGCCGTCTTTCCTGTTAATATAAACCGAACTGCATAAATTACCTACTAGCAGAACTTGTCTGAGTATAACAGTTTCAAAAACTATTTTGATGTGAAATACATTTTATTACAAGGTAGTTCTCTTTTCCATAAATGTATGGTTGAAACTTTTTCTCCTCAGATTTGACAGGAATAAAGATTGACTCTGATCTAAGGTGCTTATTTGCTGTTGGAAAACTGGATGATTATGAAAAATTGAAGAAGGAAAATTGTGAATCCTTGACTGTATTGAAGGGCATTGAGGCCCGAATCAAGGAGAGGCTGCGAGTGTTTAAAACCATGCGGACCTCTGAGGTAAGGCACAGTAGACTTGATAAAAAGTTCTCCATTTTGAATTAGTACATTGTACGCTTTCTAAACCATGTTTCTTTTGGGGAAAATAAAATGTCATCAGCATAAATTGAGCCTATTTGTATGCAGCTTTATAAGGTCACCTGAGACAAAGTCCCAAGTGACCTATTGCAATCGCCTTTTGTCCGTCGTCATCCGTCTTGCGTCCGTAAACAATTTACATTTTTGACTTCTTCTCCAAAACCGCTTAACCACTTTCAATGAAATTTTGCAGAAACATTCCATGGCCAAAGGTCAACAAAAATAGTGGAGGATATGGTCCCCAGCCCAGAGGGGCGGGGCCAAAAAGGGTCAAATTGACTAAAATTTAAAAAAAAAACTTCTTCTTAAGACCCAGATATGGTAGAATCAAATACTCTTCATAGATGGAAGGGTCTTAAGGTGTTTTCCCAAAATTGTGAATTTCATGACCCTGGGGTCTCACGTTTCCCCCTGGGGAGGGGGTAAACTTTACTATAGTATATATAGGGAAATCACATTTTGGACCAACATTTGTTTAATTTCCACTTGAAGTAATTCAATTTGGGTTAGTATTATCAGAATTGGATAGCAGTTTGATTGTGTGCACATATCAGCCCTGACTGAACCCCAGGGGCTGATGGGTGGGGTCAAAAAGGGTCAATTTGTCTGAAATTTCAAAATCTTCTTCTCAAGACCCAGATATGGTAGAAGAATCAAATACTCTTCATAGATGGAAGGGTCTTAAGGTGCTTAAATAAAATTGTGAATTTCATGACACTAGGGTCTCACGTTTCCCCCTGGGGAGGGGGTAAACTTTACTATAGTTTATATAGGGAAATCACATTTTGGACCATCATTTGTTTAATTTCCACTTGAAGTAATTCAATTTGGGTTAGTATTATCAGAATTGGATAGCAGTTTGATTGTGTGCACATATCAGCCCTGACTGAACCCCAGGGGCTGATGGGTGGGGTCAAAAAGGGTCAATTTGTCTGAAATATCAAAATCTTCTTCTCAAGACCCAGATATGGTAGAATCAAATACTCTTCATAGATGGAAGGGTCTTAAGATGCTTACCAAAATTGTGAATTTCATGACCCTGGGGTCTCACGTTTCCCCCTGGTAAGGGGGTAAACTTTACTATAGTATATATAGGGAAATCACATTTTGGACCAACATTTGTTTAATTTCCATTGGAAGTAATTCAATTTGGGTTAGTATTATCAGTATTGGATAGCAGTTTGATTGTATGCACATATCAGCCCTGACTGACCCCCAGGGGCTGATGGGTGGGGCCAAAAAGGATTGAATTGACTGAAATTTCAAAATATTTTAAGACCCAGATATGGTAGAATCAAATACTCTTCATAGATGGAAGGGTCTTAAGGTGCTCTACCAAAATTGTGAATTTTATGACTCTAGGGTCTCACGTTTCCCCCCCTGTGGGAAGGGGGGGGGGGGGCAAAATTTATTGTGGCAAATGATACTTTGAATATTACATGTTGATAACTTGATTGGAATTATAACCCTGTGTTGACAGTTTGATACTTTGAAATTTTGAGCCAGCTCTATCCCCAAGGGCGTCCAAAGGAGTCAGTGTGCTAAAATTTCTTCATTTCCCTTGTTTAGAATCAGAGGTGCTAGTTTCAAATACTTTTAAGTCTTAAATCTGTATGCTAGATATTGAATAAGGTTGTTTTATTGTTTTTTTGTCATTCTGAATAATACTTCTGTTCATGTTTTAAAAACAAAAAATAACTCTCTGTATAAATATATCAGAACTCGGGTGACCGTTAAAGCCCATGGGCCTCTTGTCTAAAATTACAGTGTAAATAAACACACTAACAAGAAAATAGAGCTGCTAGTATTTTAGCCGATTTTGGGGTTCATTGGCCAACTATTTCTATATGTCTGTCTGTTTGTCTGTCCATCCTCTCACTCTTTGGTCTCCATGAGTTTATTATTTTATTTCAATCAATACAGTGTGTGTATCTACATATTTATCAGAATATGGGTGTCTTAACAAGCGTTTTAATTTCAGGTAAAATAATTAAATAATTCAACGTTACTAACGATTTTCTGTTCTTTGTTTTCAGCTCATTAAGGTATAGATATGACATTAGAATAAATCTAGCATCTGTATGCATGGTTCTAATCAGTGCCCCTATAACATACATAACTAGCTCCTGGTATTTACCGTGCACGCTGTCTTGTGTCAATACATCATTTAGATTTCATTGATATCTCCCAAATAAAGCTGCTGCAAGTCTAAACCAGATTATGAAATGCATCAGTATACCCCGGTAATAGAAATTGGGTGAAGTAATGCAACATTGATAATTAAAGTAAAAGTGTGAAAATGATTAGATATCATCGCATGCACATCTAAAAGTACCCGATCAAGTATTGAAAAAGCCATCAGATAATACTTGTGACTTTTTGCTTCTAGATTATATAAACAGGCAAATATTTTTCTTTTCTTTTCAAATTCCTGGTGTTTCATTTGATACATTTTGCATGTATCTTGAGAGATTGATTAAAATATAAGAGGCTTTGACATTTTACAAGTTAGACTAGAGAAAATGTTCGTGTTGAAATACTGTCTAACGGTCCCTGTAGTTAGTATTGGTAAAGGAGGTACAGCTTATATTTACATGTGGTAATGGTTGATTATCTTATATTTAATGTATTGGGGTCAATTAAGTTAGTTCTATCTGCACTTACAGCATGTTACCGAAAAGTATTGATGAGTAAGTCAGAAAACATCCAAGCTCATATGTCCACGACTGATGAACAGACTGATTGAACTGATATCTAAGTCATGCATACCTGGCAAACTTAATTTAAAGGTTTAAAAAATATATAGCTTACCTGTACAGGTGAGAGTCATATAAGCCACACTAGCTTAGAATATAAAAAGATTTTACTAATGAAATTGTAACATAAGGGTTTCCCAATCTTTCCAGACATGTCCTTTTGGTTTTGTAGATGTTTTCAGTAACATACTATAAATATAAATAAAACTAAATCAAATTGACTCCTTTTCCAGATGTATATTATTTATTAGATATTCATACTACTTAAGCTTAGCTTCTTAACAGCAAAGACCATGTAATGGCAATTACTGATTTCTCTTTTCAACTACACATTTATATCAATACGAGATAAATATGGATTTGGGTTTCATCCCGATGAGGCATGTTTATATGCCCCCAGCACGGTTAGATTGTCTCTCTGTACTGGTCTACAGTGCATGCATGCAACCCTATACTATTAGCTTATCCTAATATTCCCAGACAAGAGAGTTTCTCCGGGAGTACATAACTAATACATGAGGCAGCTTTCAATGTGTAACCTATTTCAATTATTTAAAAAAACTTCATCAATCATTGATAATGTGTTTTAGTTTACTACCAAACATTTGATCTCTGTTGAGATAATTAAGAAATGAAATCATTTCATTGCCTCATATTCTTGTACTGTATAGAAATTAAAAAGAAAGAAACATTTTAAAATTTAAGAATAAAAAAATGACTGGTAAATATTATTACAAACTCTGACTCTACATAATGCAACAGAAATTTAAAGAAAAATTCAAAAATGAAGTATAGACCCTGCAGTGTTGGTCAATAAGACTATTGGCAACAATATGTCAGACTGAGCTATCTCCACTACCGGCAGATTCGATCCTCCTCTTTTTGTATCATTTTTCAATCATATATATATATATATATCCAAGTTATGGTTATAAACACCAACATGCATCTTTCCATGGAAACTCCCAATTCATGTGTACATGAATGCAATTACTGCTCAATATCCCCATGTGCTTGTTTACTGTACATACCGTAAAAACCCATGTAATTTGCGCACCTGTGTAATTTGCGCACCTGTGTAATTTGCGCAGGTACTTTTTGAGGCTGAAAATCTGAAAAAAAGCTTCTACTCAAATATTTTGCGCACCCAAAAAATCTGAAAAAAAAACGATGTTCATGCTCCGAAAATCGATCTCTGAATATATTTTTTTTAAATATATTTCTTATGATTTTTTTTCCATTGATCTAAAGATATAAAAAACCAAAAAGAAACTTACGTAAAATGTGTATTTTGTTGTTCGTTTTCTTGGAATTATCTGATCACACACATAACACACACGTGTGCGCATATCGGCATACATCAATTCATTTTAGCAATATTTTACATAAAACATTTACTTGCTTACAAAAACACATCAATTAATAAGTAATTCGATGTTTAGTAACCGCTGTTGCATATCTCCTGGTGAAAGACATAATTAGATACCTTTTATTGATCATAATTACGATCAGTGAGAAGGGCTCATCATGGCGGCTTGGGTATCGTCACTTCAAACCAGGTCATGTCACAGTTCAGTTTGGCCACGGAATTAGATTACCTAAGTCTGTGGTTTGGCGATATGTTTTGGCCACACAATTAGCTAACACTATATCTGTGATTACCCGTTAACAATAGCTCTACTAATTGAAATGATTTGCAGTCGCGATCGACGGACCGTGTTGGTTTTTTTTTTACTCACCAACACGTGGCGTGAATTACGAAGTCATTACGAAGTGAATTACTGCATTGTCATAACTACAGACTGATTTGACTGATAAGGGATTATAAAAAATATATTTATACTAGAAGCGTGGACAATCAATACATCCTCTTCAAATCTACTCCAAGGAAAAAAATAGTTAAAGCAGACTATTTTTACGATGTTTCATTTCATAAATATTGAAATAATTCACGAGGTTATTATCAATCACGTGTTTAGGTAATGTTAGACGCAAGATCAACATGAAAGTGAGCCAGAAAAAAACATGCTATACGCATAGGCGATTTGAAAAAAAACTAACAGAACTTACTTGGAACGGAGCTTAAATTGAACAACTACATTTTCGTAATAGTATGGGGAAACGCACCGAGATGTCGAAACGTAAAGTCATAAGTTGATCGGCGATTCTCTGGCATAGGAATTTGGCTAAACTTTCTTTGTTAACGGTTACCTATTTAATAATACTTTTCACATAAACTCAGATAACAACACATATGTATCAACTGTATCTTTTATTAATGTTTGACATAAATAAAGTTTGTTGACCGTCATTTGAGTTCCGTGTACCAAGGGAGATAATCCAAGATGGCGATCTCCAAGAATTGACGATCTTTTCCTGAAAAAAACTTGAAATTTTCTATACCTGTGTATTTTACGCACCCCCCACTTTGGGTATAAAATTTCTGAGAAAAAAGTGCGCAAATTACATAGGTTTTTACGGTACTTAAGGTTATAGGAGTGTATTGCTAAACGGAAGAAGGAAGTACATCCCTAGTTGAAAATCCAATGTAGGGAGACAGTATCACAATTTCCGCATATTCTAATGTTTAATATTAAACTGATGAATATTGTATGCTTATTATTGACAGAACAGTGTGTTCTTTCATTATTAAAGTATTGCAAAGCAATCCAGGCATTAATTCAGTTGTTTTTTAATCAATGAGTCACATGTGTCCATTTTTCTGTACTTNTATATGGTTTTATTATAAAATGTCAATTTTTAATCGTTTATAAATAATTAATTTTACACAATTTCAGCATTTATGAAATTGATATACATTAATGCAATACTAATCTATGTTCATTTTTTTTTCAAAATTCACTCCTTTTTACATAAATTTCCATTTAAAATCCTTAAAATTTTGACAACCTATATTTTTTTTGTGGCAGAAATTTTTTTTTACTTCAAAGCAATATAACCACAAAATTTGAATAAATTCTACTGAGAAATGGAGAATGTACTATTGGTGCACCCAATTGGTAAATGTATAAGTATTATGAAAACAAACCTATATATGGGTTAATTGGACACGTTTTTAATAGGTTTTATTTTAATAGCTTATCATAAGAAGCCGAAAAGGGAGAATTTTGTTTTTGAAAGAAAATAATAAAAAAAAAACTTTTGATAGTGCCTGAGCTTTTTCCTTTTATTGACAGAAAGGTATATAGGCATGAAGAGTGTAAGGTGATTGTGTCATATCCCTTGGATCTAAAATGGGACATTGCATCGGTAGTTAAAAGGGGAAAGGGACCTAAAATGGGACATTGCATCGGTAGTTAAAAGGGGAAAGGGACCTAAAATGGGACATTGCATCGGTAGTTATAAGGGGAAAGTGACACAAATAGCTGTTTCTCACAAGTTCATGAAGAATAATACAAATTTCATTTTGACCCAACAATCTTCAAGGGTTCTTCATAAATATCTTGTTTTCTTAATGCCAATAACAATATCTCCTATCCTGAGTTGGGTGATCATCAAGACCCACAGGACTCTTGTAATGTATGAGGTGCTTGTTTTAATCAAAGTTTCTTGTACTTACAGAGTGTAGAGTACAGTACCTTGAAGGAACTCTCCCTCAGCTCCGAAAACCTTCGTATCTGTCTGGATGAAGAGAAATCTCTCATTGGCTGTTTCTGGACAACCCAGCTCCCTAAGGGTGGTAGTGATGCCAAAGTCACGGCGGAGGTCAGTGTCTCATTTAATAGATTATTGCTCTCTAAGTTACTGGTCAAAATACAAATTATTTACTACTGGTCAAATCACAAACTCATAACAAGGGATAAATGGGATTAAACTTGGTTATTTAACATGCAAAATGTATATGAATTCTAGGTGTTTGAGCTTACTTAAAGTGTTTTCATACCAGTATATGTAATTTCTATACCTGTAACTACATTCAGTAAATTCAAAAACAGATTAACAACCTTGTATTGCTGGATTCATATTCCACATGTATTACTATTGTAGAACAAACTCCTACGCGCTGAACTGTTTACGATCCAGTCCAAGTATGAGCTGATGGTGAAGATGGTACAGGATGCTGAGACTCGGCTCCATACCAGTAACAAACAGAAACAGAGTATGGAGGAGATAATACATCGTCAGTGTGAGTAGACACTGGGCTATTCTTACTCTTAGTGATCTCATCATGTTTTTGGGGTGTTTTTTTTAACCATGTTATAATAACTCATTCACCCCTGAAATTTCATATGACCTATTCCAACCTTTGAATTGGAAAAGTTCAAATGTGTCTTCAGGGAAGAATGAGTTAAAGTGTTTTAGTAATGTTTTCTTTATATTTTAAAATTGGGGGAAAATGATTCAATCAGATTGATTTGCTGTTTATTTGTTGTCTGTACACAGCTTTATTAACATCCATTTTTATTTCCGTGTCTTTGGGTTATTTGATGTCTGTACACAGCTTTATTAACATCCATTTTTATTTCCGTGTCTTTGGGTTATTTGATGGTGTTTTTTTTGGTATGCAAATCCTTTCTTACACTTAAATGAGATTGCCAGTGATTAAAATTGGAATTTACTATCTTTGAATGAACATCTGATCACTGCCACCATGATACTTGCCTCCTCAAATAGTTTGCTGTACTGTTGGTACTATAGGGTGTCTCAAAAACCTGTCCCCGATTTAAATGGTTATATGTAGGTTCGAAAGGTTCAGATAGATTATAACAATCATTTCTGGTGATACATTACAACAAAGAAACACGCTTCTCTCTCCAAATTAGAGAATTAAATGAATACACAGTACCAGTAAGACACAGCTTTTAATTGACAATGTATATCAAGAGTCAAATAATTCATTTAAGATACTGTTGTTGTTTTTTTAATTCTTCACAACTTTTATTTGTCTAACAAAATCCTCTTTGAAGGTTGTTTAAAGTTAAAGTCTAGACACTTTTGATGTATATTTTTTTCATGATGATGGGGATTTATTATTTACAAAGTACAGTTCAATGACCTGTGTGTGAATCTCATTAGGAAGCGCTGAATTATAATGACATCATTGAAGATGTTAGTCCTACTATATAATTACATCATCAATTTCTATGTATATGATCAAATGAAATTTTCGTAAATATGCTTTGATTGACTTTCCAAATTTTTCAAAAAAATTATTTTTGTGAAATTTATTACATTTGGTACTGTATTTACAAATAATCTTGGTACATGGTTTTAAGACACACTATGGAGGGATAGGAACTCTCAATGTTGCTTTGTATGTTGGAACTAAATAGGGGAATGGGTAACCTGTTGGTGTTATGGTTTTGTATGTTGGTGTGTCAATTTGTTACAGATGAAAAGCTTTTCGACTGCTGCTTGACTTACAGGCAGAACCTCAAACTGCCAGCATGGTTGGTGTTCATGTGTGGCTTGGGTTTGGTTTTATCACCTGACAGAATAATGAGATGCAAGTGTTATCTCCCTTGACAGAATCTGAATTTGATTTTAATTTTCAATTTAATTAATTCAACATTCTTTTATGAGTCTTACAATGATATTTTGGAATTATTTTCGAGGGAGATAACAACTAATTGGCTTGGTATGTTTCTGATAAGACTAACATTTTTTCCTTTTTTTCTCCCATTCCTCTTCATCATGAACTTTTTTAGTCCCCTACCGGGAAACCAGGGGGACTATAGTTTTCCTCTCCGTCTGTCCGTCTGTCTGAAGAGGTTTGTCAGCACTCTAGAGCCTTCATTCTTTCATGGATTTTAATCAAACTTTACACACATGTTAAGAATTAAAATATCTTTAACAAGTTCGAGTTTCAAGGTCATCGGATCAAGGTCAAGGTCATTATGACAATAAATAGAAAAACTTTGTCAGCACTCTAGCGTCTTCATTCTTTCTTGGTTTTTAATCAAACTTCACACAGTCATAAAGAATTAAAATATCTTCGACAAGTTCGAGTTTCAAGGTCATCGGATCAAGGTCAAGGTCACTATTACTATAAATAGAAAATCTTTGTCAGCACTCTAGCGTCTTCATTCTTTCTTGGATTTTAATCAAACTTCACACACTCATAAAGAATTAAAATATCTTTGACAAGTTCGAGTTTCAAGGTCATCGGATCAAGGTCAAGGTCACTGTTACTATAAATAGAAAATCTTTGTCAGCACTCTAGTGTCTTCATTCTTTCATGGATTTTAATCAAACTGCACACACTCATAAAGAATTAAAATATCTTCGACAAGTTTGAGTTGGACAGGTTCGAGTTTTAAGGTCAAATGGTCAAGGTCACAGTTACTATAAATAGAAAATTTTATTTAACATTCTTCCTTGCCTGTTTATCAAACTTCACACACTTGTAAAGATACCTTTACAATCAACAAATAAGATTTCTTAGTATTTTTATTCCCTTACCGGTGAAACTGGGTGGGGGTGGCAGGGAGGGAGAAGAAAACAAGAATACCTAAAGTTTTCCTCGCTGTCTGTCCGAAGAAGTTTGTCAGCACTCTTGCGCCTTCATTCTTTCCTAGTTTTTAATCAAACTTCACATTATTGTAAAGAATTTAAATATCTTGGACAATTTCAAGGTAATCGGGGCAAGACAAGGTCACTATTACTATTTTAGAAAATCTTTGTCAGCACTCTAGTGCCTCATTCTTTCATGGATTTTAGTCAAACTTCACATTATTGTAAAAAATTTCAATATATTGGACAAGTTCAAGTTTCAAGGTCCTCGGATCTAGGTTGAGGTCACTGTTGCATCTTAATAGATTGCGGGGGCCGGTAGGGGACATGTATTGCTTCAGCAATACTCAGTATGCTTGATTTTTCAGTGCTTGGCATGTAAAGCTTATGAATTAAGAAATACAGTTTCAATAGCACACCTGATTTTAATGTGTGATATTTTACATTAACTGTCTACACAAACGTAATGAGATATATAACCAGATTTATTTTGTATATGACAGCCATTGTTTTTGATGACCTTCCCATCATTCCTAGTAGTGTGATGTGTTGTGTTGGCATTGGTTTACAAGATCATCATTAAGCACACCTTAACATAACTGTCTCAACCCCTTTTTCCCAGAATATTTTCCTTTTAGCTTTGTTCTTTGGGTTATTTTCTCAATACCTATAAGTAGAACCTACCCGTTTAACTCCCTCCACTTGATACATACTGGTAGAGAGGGCGTAGCCAGTAATGACTTACCTCAGTGTACATTCAGCTTGAACTTAGGACAAACAATAAGTTTAGCTGTAGCTGTCCCCCACTTCATTTTGACACTCATGTTAGTCCAGTACGTAGTAGACGGAGGGAAGACATTTATTTGCCGATTATTAGTGTATCATACTAGATTGTTTTTTGCGATTTTTGTCAAAGTTTTTAAATGAAAGGTTTCTTATTTAGAAAGATATTTTGCTACTTGTAAGAGAGAAAAAAAATTAACCTCCTTATTAGTAAGACAGTAAGACATTTATCAATTAAAAATAACATTTAAAAAATTCAGATTTAATACTTTAAATTCCTTTGTAATTACAGAGTGTGTAAACAGTACCGCTACAGATGTCATTCTTTTGAGCTGATCAACATTGATTTTATTTGTAACCATTAGATTTATAGACACAAAAATACCTATTTCTGCTACATTTCAACAGTGAGAACGTTGCTGATGAATTATTTTTGTGTGATATTGATATCAGATTTATATACATCTTTTTATAGTGAAAAAGACAACGAAAGTGGTAGCCAAGGCGAGGACAAACTTTGAGAAAGATGTTCCCAGCAACAGTTCAGGACAGCTTGTTTCTATCACCAGAGGCCAACCTTTACGGGATGTGGATACGGACAGTGAGATTAGCTACAGCTGATAACAATCGGCCGGAGTAGTGACCATTGCGTGTGTGTTTGACTGTTACATTTGGTTCATTAGACTGAATAGCCCAGAGACAGTGATGATAAGAAATGCTACGACAAAGAGTGTGAACTATGTCCTAAATATGTAATACAACTCAAGTTTTAGGTCAGTTTGTTGAATGAAGAGGAACTCGATGTGGCTTGTCGTCCACGTTAATATAAGGGGGTCACTGTTGGAGAGCCGTTGTTGATGAAACCTCAAAGTCATCATATTGTTGTCACGTTTTGTTAACAATGTTGCCTATGTTGACTGCTGTTGTTTGTTAGTCAACTTAACATACAGACCATGTATCTGTCCGGTACAAACATGGCCTCATCCCGTCACTGTTACAGGTAATTGTATGGGCCAGGTACACACATCCCGTCACTGTCACAGGTAATTGTATGGGCCAGGTACACACATCCCGTCACTGTTACAGGTAATTGTATGGGCCAGGTACACACATCTCGTCAATCATAACTTTTCTTCTTTAGTGTGAATGATCAGTATGTATGTATCAGGTGTATGTATAATTGTGTGCACGGGTATTAATTTAATATTACCCTTGGTAGAGATCAGGAAATTCAAACCCTCTGGAAGAAAAATTATAGAAACCTGAGTTTTCCTCATTATTTCATGCCTCCCGTTTGAATCACCTTTTCTATACCCCATTTGCAGGGGTAGATCCTCCTATTTCTTGCCTACCTTCATGATAAAAAAAAACCCAATTAATTCTATAAAAGCACTACAAAAACTGGTGCCAGTCAGAGTACAGACATTATTTTTCTTCTTAATTTTAACATTACAGTCATTGCACTATTGACTTGTGACATCACAGCAGTGATTTAGACCAGTGAATTTCAGATAGAATTTTCAGCACCATTGGACTTGGGATATCTTGGTTGAATGTGCAATTCTCTCTACAGGTGCCAGTGGCAGGTTGAGCCCACTGTTACACGTGTAGATTGACTTAACACACTTCTCAGAGTCAGCATCTCGTGTATTGACATCTAAATGAAGCTGACACTATTTCAGTAACTAATGAGGAGGGGAAAAGTGATGTCTATGACCGACACACCAGAATTTTGGGCGATATCAATTGGAAAGAAATGAGTCAGAAATCTAGAGGTATTATAGTTTAGCATCAGTAATGATACATAAAGCACGTTTCATTCTTTCAGTTACATATTTCTTGCTATCAATCCTAGGATTTGGTTTTGTTCATCTTTTTGTTAATAAACACAGTTATGACTCATTGTGAGTCATAACATTACTTTAAGAAAATCAGCTTTGTATGATATACAATGATACAATGATTATGGTTTACATGTATATTATGATAAATACATAAATATGTACCTGGTAGTTAGATCAGTAGTAAGTAAACAAATTTCATGTCTTTCAGTCACTGACATACATGTCATATCCACTTGTCTTGCCATCTTTTCTAAACTCTTTCTGTCATTTAAAATGTCATGCATTCAAATATTAAACCTCAATGTATTTCTGGTATACAAGGAACATCGTACTGATATCCATTGACAGTTCATATTTTATTGTTGTCGGATGTTATTTCCTGGAGTCTTGTTATGAGTCTGCTAAGGACAAAGGAAAACCCCTGTGTTGGTAAAATAAGACTGTGACCCACCAACCCCTGTACGTTGTTTGTGTCGTTATGTCTCTACCTGACTCTGCATGTTATGTTGTATTCGTCACTGACAACGTGTGTTGTAGTGTTACATTACCGCAACACCTTCGCCAGGATATTGTTTGTATTCTTACGTCACTGACAATGTGTGTTGTAGTGTTACATTACCGCAACACCTTCGCCAGGATGTTGTTTGTATTGTTACGTCAATGACAATATTACAATGACAATATTACCGCTACATGTTTCATTAAATATAAATAGTTAGTGTTGAAATTGGCCAACATTATGATTTCTGTACAGATCCTTGCATGTTGCATTTTCGTACATTTTTCGTTCTTTATTTACAATATCCATCAGATGCATGTATTGGTACTGAGTTCCCCAGAGGTATATGTCTCCTTCACATCATTGTTGATAGATTATCTTAATGACATTGCTTGAGTTCAAAAGCAACAATTGTCAACATTCTAAGTGTAGTGTACACTTTTCTCTCATTTTGACATTCAGTTGAAAAGTTTATGAGAAAATGTTACTTCAGATATATTACCTCTTTATAGCTGGAACAGCGGGAACCCAAGTCAGTTCTATTTTCTGTGCCGTGCCCATGGTTTTAATTTCCCATTCCATACCATCATGGCACTTGAAATAGCCACAATTCAGCATGCATCCCACGCCTCCATTGTGCAACTGTAAGGATTTGCAAGGAACAGATCAATCCTAGAACCTCATGCTTACTCCACACATTTTGATATTCAGTGGATGATCAGACAAACTTATAGATATTAAAAAAATCTTCCAATGTCAGTCTTCCAGATATTTACAGTGAAAGCTCAAAATGGCCGTTGTGCCAAAACAAAAAGTCAAAGCTTGTGCAACATTCAACTTTCAAATTCATCTGATGTTATATAAATAGTTACAGTTCTGATGTTATATAATAGTTACAGTTCTGATGTTATATAATAGTTACAGTTCTGATGTTATTTTAATTGTCCTGCTCCTTACCTGGGAATGCCATTGCATGCCTGACCATCCTTTTAGTGTGGTAGCATGATGACCAGGTTATGTTACTACCTGTTAGCCTTGCTGTATATATACCAGGAAACCATCCAGATCAATGTTCACCCTACACTTAGCAGAGGGCCAAAATATTCTGACGAACATTTCCTGGCATATTGTACAATTCTGCATTATCATTAGTTATATATTACAGATATGATAAGGGACCAAAGTTTTGAGCTCACCCTCATTATCATCTCTCATTTAAACTTTGTTTCATAAAATCTGGTCAGTTACACTTCCTGTGGAGTAGACTTATTTTCAAAAGATACCCAATCAAAATATATAGTGTTAAACAAATACTGGTGTGTACGAGATAACACGATGATTTTGTTGTAGTCGTATTGTTTCCTTAAGATTACTTTAAAGAAATGAATTAAGAAAATACTTTTGTCATGTGATTTTCATGTAGATTTTAGTTGATACTAAATAGAATGGATTTGTAGAATGATTCCTGTCTGTATTATAATTATAAACACTGCTGTATAGTATAAATTACTGATATGTTTACTGTGGGAAGTAGCATGTTTTAATGTTCACTTTCAAGAGATCTGTTTGATACGCTGAATGATTATTTATCACAATTATCTGTATGCATAATAATTTTTATACAGATCTACCATATCGTGGAGACATTTTATGGCTACTTTTTTGAGACATGCTGAGTATACAAGACTACAATCAAACTATTTTGTGGAGACGTTTTTGCTGAGAGTATTGGTAACCACTATTTGGTGGAGACGTTTTTGCTGAGAGTATCAGTCACCATTAGTTTGTAGAGATGTTTTTTCTGAGAGGAATGGTTACCAAATATTTTTAAAGAGAAATACTTGCTGAGAGTGATAGTAACTGCTATTATGTTGAGACATATTTGCCGAGAGTAAGAGAGTAACCACTATTTTGTGGAGTCCTCAGTTACAATGAGAGTAATCGTTACCAAATATTTGTATGGAGACATGTTACGCAGAGTGTAACCACTATCTTACCAATGAGAGTTTGTTGGATTATTTATTATCAAATTGAATGTGCTTTTTGTTGTTTGACATCCACATCACAAATGACAAAAAAATGATGACAATAAAATGTCAGGATGAACATGTGTTTTTTGTGGTCTTATTTGTTGGATTAAAAGTTTCTTCATGCTTGATCAACTTTTGTTAGCTCACCCAAGTGATTTGTTTCCATCGATCATTCATCTTTTATCTGTAAACGTTTTCTTTGAACAACCTCTACTGAAGAACCAACAGGCCAGTTTCAACCAAATTTCATAGAAAATGTTGCTAGGTGATTTCATGTTGATTCAGCTTTGCAAAAGAAAGTGGCTTGTCCTTATCAGGGGCCTAAATGAGTAAACTTTAGGGCAGCTTAAAAAAATAAAATGTTTAAAATGTTTGTCTTATTTGACCCGTTACCTTGAAAGTAGGTCAAAGTCAATTATGTTCGCTAAGCTTGTAGGGCTCTAACTGAGGAAGTTACCAGTCAAATATTATGATACTATGCCTTCAGTTCTTCTCCAGAAGTTGTTTGAAGTTTTTGGCATATTTGACAACTGTGACTTTGAAAGAAGGTCAAGGTCATTTTTGTTTGTCGTACCCTAACCTAGAAACTAACAGCTAAATATCATGACACTAGGCCTTTCCATTCTTCAGAATAAATTGTTTGAAGTTTCTGACATATTTGAGCACTGTGACCTTGAAAGTAGGTCAAGGTCATATTTGTTTTTAAACTTTGTCAGGTTCTAACTAAGAAAGCTACCAGCCAAATATCAATGTTTTTCCTTTCTTCAGAAGTCGTTTAAAAGGAAAAGTTGACGGACGATGGATGCTGCACTACCGGATAAGCTCGATAACTTAAGCTAAACAAGCAAATTCGTGGAATTTATATCCCCCGCTTGCAGTACATTTTGTAGGTAAACATTATTGAGGTTAGGTTTAAACATGCGAGTATCGTGCTGTTGAGACATAATGTATAGCTTGAAACTTGAAGAAGAAAAGCCTTATACCTCATTAATTATCCATAAATATGCACAAATCACATCGGTTGGCAAACTTAGCATGAGTCGGATGTGCATACGGAATTTGGTTGAAATATCTGCACAATATCTACAGCATTTATCACACGAAAACCAAAGAGTGCCCGAGGTGGGTGGAAAGATAATATAAGTTAAGGCAATTCAATTGAACAAACTTTGAAGCCCTTTATCCCAGCCTGTAACTGGCCAAATAACATTATTCTAGGCTTCTTGGTTATTAGCTCACCTGGCACGAAGTGCCAAGTGAGCTTATGCCGTGGCGCGTCGTCCGTCCGTCCGGCGTCCGGCGTCAATATTTTACTTTAAACGACTTCTTCTTAATAACCGAAAGGCCCAGGGAGTTGATATTTGGTCAGTAGCATGCCTGAGTGAAGGGCTACCAAGTTTGTTCAAATGAATGACCTTCAATTATATTCAAGGTCACAGGGGTCGATTGTNATCACCCCAGCATATGTAACTGGCCAAATATCAGAAGAAGTTGTTTAAAGTTTTTAACATATTTGACCCATGTGATCTTGAATATAAGTAAAGGTCATTCATTTGAACAAACTTGGTAGCTCATCACCCCAGCATATGTTACTGGC